GTACCGCCGATGAAGCCAGACGCAGCCATGCAGTAGCCCGCGCGCCAAAGAGCATAACCACCATAGTTGATGTGACGCGCCCAGCTCCAGAGGCCCTCGCGAATGACCTTGCCCTGGTTCTCAGGCTTCGCCTTGAAATGCTTGCGCTGCTCTTCGGACGCGGTCTCGAGGAACATGCCGATGCCGAACAGGGCACTTCCGAGGACGGCCTGGTACGGCAGAGAGGTGCCGGGGAAGTAGAGAGGAGAGGCCAAAACGGAGGTCGAGGCGGCGAGGAAGAGTAACGAATTGGCGCTATTCACGAGTGTGTTGTAAATGCTCACGGGCACAGCCGCAGAGGGGCCGAACTCTTCAGCACAAACACTGACGACCCAGTACGCCTGCTTGGCGAAGGAGCCAACAGACATGCCGAGGAGGATCAGGTGCGGGAGGGGAAGGTTGAGGTTGTCGATGAGGGCGATGCCCGTGTTGGAGGCGGCAGTGAGGGGCAGAACGACATTGAGACCGAGTTTGGAGAGGAGGGAGGCGCCCCAACCACCAGCGATGAGCTTGTATTGGAGTATTGGATCAAGACCGCGAAGGCCGACGAAGGTCAGGATGCCTGGTACGCTGGTCCTCTTGACCCCGCGTTGGATGAGGTCGAAGGGTTTGTCGTTTGGCCGAGAGTCTGCCATGGTGTCGGTGGCTCTCAATTGAGTGACGAGGGGCCTGTGGTTCGAGAGGAACTGGAGGAGTATTCTGAGGTAAATGCAGAGGAGGAGGGGATGTTTATTAGGAGATGTAGGAGCTCAAATAAGGCTAGGCTATCAATAGAGGTGGTAGCGTCATGCATGACACTGCTCCCGGCATGACGGCGGCTGCTAAAGTCCCTTTATATACGGGCGGGGATCTGGATTGGGGAAATGCGATGTTTCCCCTTAAGATCATCGCCTTCTTCCGGACGAAGGTTTGCTGTCCGCGCCCAAAGTCCGTTCCCCGAACCAACCATGTTTTTTGCAACCCATACAGGGACTTTGTGGTAGCTGCCACGTCCGAAGTTAGATGTAGGTTCAGATGAGCTCGAATTGGTAAGCCGGGCATTTGTTTTGGAAGGGATTAGAGCGATACACGCCGAAGGGCCGGGTATCATGTCCCCGCATGTTTTCCCTGTAGAGCCGTGCTTGAGAGTCCATCTACATCTCTTCTACTGGCACTATACTGCTGCTACCCAGGTCCCTAGTTCAGGACTGCTCGCCTGCGTACCAAATTCACCCAATTTCACCTTGGCTCCTAAGCAAACTTGAGACCCAAATCTCAACAGGGCAAGGCAATCCAATCCGAGTGCGGGCATTTGTACAAGCCATGGCGTGGTGCGATCGATTGTTCTCAAGGAGCAACACCACTGGACTCCGACACATGCGACCACACCCATTGGAGAACTCGAGATCCCGTCCGCTCTCTCATAGATAAACTAATGAGGGCCAGAGTAGTAGTCCGGTCGGAGACGACGGGCGAATGCCTGGTGTTGCATGTATTTTTGCGGCGGCGAAACGCTTGATGCTGAATGTTAAGCGGCGCCAGACAAGCCTCTGCTGTGGGTTGGTTCGTCTGAAGCTGGAGACGTCGCTTGGCCATGCGCATGTCTCACGATGCTCTTTTCCCCATCGGGCTTTATCTCGGCATTCGCGGCAAATATCGAGATCGCGGGGTGAGTTCCGTGATCTCTGGGTCAAGCAGCATGTTGGAGGCCCGGCGTATTTGCTGGCAGCTTCAGCTTGATGCAGCAGCGGCTGGGCTGCATATCAACAAATGGGACAGAAGAAAGCTCCCGCGCAGATGACGTGATGGTTTCTGGGTAGCTTCAGTGTTCCATGCGGATACCCGAGGTAAGGCGATGCCTCTTATCTAGACCCCTGCATTACCGATAACACTGGCGTCGTTCCCAGGCAACGACACTGGAGGAGCATGATGCGAGGTGGGTCTCTCGTGACCAAATATCCAATGACTAGCCTTGAATCTAGCGGCACCTGGGTGATGTGTTGCAGACAGGGGAGCTTCAGTTCCACACGTTGGGTCCTGCGTAAGCTGTTGCAGTGGCGTCCCCTGCCTGCCTAGCTAGGTACCTATTCGTACCTATTAAAGCAACCCGCGACATGACGGCGACTCCTCTTCCCTCTGACATCCACCCGCCCACCTCATCATCCCCAGACTGTACAACTTGATCAACTACATCAATCCAAAATGAAGGTTACCAAAGCTTCGCTTCTCGCCATCTTGGCGCACTCGGCCATGGCCCGCTTTGTTGCCGAGGACGAGATCAACCGCGTCCAGTTGTATCCCGCCGGCTCCGAGCCTGAGAAGTACCTGATTGAGCTGGCCCAAGGTGACACTCGCTGGGTCACCGAGGAGGAGAAGTGGGAGCTCCGCCGGGTAAGACGACACTGCATGCATCCCGTCCTTCTTGTGTACTGACGTGCAACTCTGCAGAATGGCAATCGTTTCTTCGATATCACCGATCACCAGGACTTTGGCAAGACCGGCCTGCGCACCAGGGCCAAGGCCAAGCCCGTCTTCCCCGAGAAGTGCACGCTCCAAGACAAGGTCAAGCCCTTGATTAAGGACCTTGACAAGAACGAGATCCAGAAGAACCTCGAGAAGTTTACCAGCTTCCACACCCGATACTACAAGTCAGACTACGGCCACCAGTCGTCCGAGTGGCTTCTCTCCAAGATCAACTCCATCATCAAGGATGCAGGTGCCGATAAGCACGTCTCCGCCGCGGCGTTCCCCCACACATGGCAACAAAGCAGTATTATTGTTACAATTCCGGGCAAGTCTAACCGCACAGTCGTCATTGGTGCCCACCAAGATTCCATCAACCTTTGGCTGCCATCTATCCTGGCCGCGCCCGGCGCCGACGATGATGGCAGTGGTTCCATGACCATCCTCGAGGTCCTTCGTACCTTGCTCAAGTCCAAGGACGTCGTCGAAGGCAAGGCCGACAACACGATCGAGTTTCACTGGTACAGCGCCGAGGAGGGCGGTCTCCTTGGTAGCCAAGCCATCTTCAAGTCATACGAGCAGGACGGACGTGATGTGAAGGCCATGCTCCAGCAGGACATGACTGGCTTCGTGCAAAGAACGCTCGATGCCGGCAAGCCTGAGAGTGTTGGCGTCATCACCGACTTCGTTGATGCTGGATTAACTGATTTCATCAAGAAGGTCATTGTTGAGGTACGTTCTTCCCGTTGCTTCCATGACTCGCGACATCATGCTGACAATATCAACAGTACTGCAAGATCCCTTTCACCGAGACCAAGTGCGGATACGCCTGCTCGGATCATGCTTCCGCCAGCAAGGCTGGCTACCCTTCGGCTTTCGTTATCGAGTCTGCCTTTGAGGACTCGGATCAACACATTCACAGCGTTGACGACCTCATCAAGTACCTCTCATTTGACCACATGCTTGAGCATGCCAAGATGACTCTGGGTCTCGTGTATGAGCTCGGCTTCGCTGACTTCCCCGCCCTTGAGAAGAAGAGCGAGACTGTCTCTGAGGAGCTGTAGGAGGCTCTTTAAGGCAGACGTGTGAATGAGCCAAGATAGTCACGATATCTCAAATACAATAAATAGACGAAAGTTTGAACACATCAGCTCCCTATGCCGTTACATAAAACGTATCCATCATACATTAGAGAGGCTGTCGTCACAAGTAATTGCATATCCCATCTAAAACTGAAATATTATATGCAACCTGCACAGCCTTCTCAGGACACTGTTCTTATACCTGATAAAAGTAATGATAGGGAGAAGACTACGTTTTATTAAGGTCCACATAGAGTGAACGTTTTAAAGATCAAAAGGCAAAAAGTTTAGCTTGAACAGCCTATGAAAATCCCCAGGAGATTCTTACCAACCTCAGGTGTAACGATGCAAGGGATTTTTCTAACGGCGGCAGAGCAAGAACCCACTGAGAGAGTGGGATTCGAACTTGCGCACCCGTGGCGTGGGACTTTCAGAGAAAAACTCGCATGAAAGCGCCTAGTAACCCCACTAGACCACGGGCTGTTGTGAAAGAGAAGGGCAAGATGTGAGCTATCAGGGTCGGGAGTTGGGAGTCGAGAGGTCGGGAGAGACCCAGGGTGGGGCTGCGCATCTAGGTCGGCGGTGCCCGTCTGCTATTCACCACACTACATTTGTGACGTTCACGTCCCACGTTGCAAGGACCCGACTAGGTATTACTGCCTACCTTGGTAGGCGTTAGGCAGGACTCGCCTCGGCTGAACAACCCCGTCCGATCCATTTAGCCAGAAAGTTTGCGGGAAAATCCTTTGAAGGATTTTCGATGTTGGTAGAGTCTGCTTGTAAGCCATTCATCTTCTTCAGGGACTCGTTGAGGGCGCTGCATCCTGTGTGCCTTTCATTGCGCAGTCCAATTACTATCCATTGTACTATCCATTGTACAACAAAATGAATAAGAGAACTGGTGCGGAACACATTGAGTCAAAATGGAGGTGGATAGGCCCTGATTAGTTCCTGCTGGTAAATACGAAGTTGCTGGCTAAAGGCACCTTGCTGTGTTCACCTCAAGGTGAGAGTCTCCAGGTACCCAAGAAACGACGTTAAAATAAGACGCAGGGGCTTCCGGGTGCGGTTGCTTGCCTCAGCGCAGATCCCACGTGCTTAGACAGGCTAGATCGAGAGCCCCACCGCTCGGCGAGTGCCACTCACACCCTGGAGTACACTTCCCATCTCCACAACCAACTTCACCTCTCGCAACACACTCTCTCATAAGCATCGCCGCAACGTCCGACGTTTCTAGGTAGTATATCTACCTCGAATTGCTACGATCAGAAAGTACACGGAAGGATAATAAGCCTCTTGGCAAACAAACCCGGCAAACACACTTCGGAGTACAGCATTGGCCACTTCGAGTCATTGCGCACGGAAGCTACGAAACATACTCTCTTGCGTTGACAACGCCAAACAAGTCAAAAAACCCCGCATCAAGAGGGCATCAACATGACAGAATCAGCTCCCGAGAGCGTTTCTAACGCCATCGCCACGGCTCCATGGAGCCAAAGACCGCCCAGCCCGCCCTACATCCCCATCCCTCTCACGTTTTCCAAGGGTGCCGACTCTGCACTGTTGCCTTCATTCGACAACGTGGACTCCATGCACCTGACGAGCGATGATCTCAGTATCATAACCCGCAACGTCAAACAAACCATCACTGACAGGTCGGTCGGCTGGAACTATGAAGCACGCCGCCAAGCACAGCCAATCCTCGATTTTCTCTACCTCGGACCGCTCTCTATTGCTCGCGATGCCAACTGGCTGGCGCAAAACGGCATTAGCATGATAATCGTTTCGAGATTCTCACAAGCTGCACGTTTTATGAGCGTCGACAAAGCCGCACTGTCACTCGGCATCAAGGTCGAGTATTTAGATGTAGCCGACAATTTCGAGTTGGTCCGAGGTTTTCCAGAGGTCGTGCGGAAAATCAACAACCACTTGCTCGAAGTCTACCATGCACAGGCGCTGGAGAGGCAGGACGGTCGCATGGTCATCGACAGCAACAACTTTAGGGGCGGGAAGGTCTTGGTCGTTTGCGAGACAGGCAATGATCGATCAGCCTTCATCGTTGCTGCATACATCATGACAGTCTACGGACAGCCCATGATTCCCAGCGTCCAGTTTGTCTCCGTGCAACGTTTCTCGGTCAACTTTGACGAGGAGAGCAAGAGGATGCTGCGGGCCTATGAGGATCTTCTCAATGCTCAGAGAATAGTATCTGATGCGACAAGACATGTCCCCAGAGCGGGCGAAAACGACGGCCGCCAAAAGGGAGGCAAGAGAGGCATAGAGGCTACGCTAGACGATGATGACAGAATGGAGGGAGATGGTTACGATGGATTTGTCGTCGACCGTGAGCGATATGAAGACAGAGCCAAGTTCGTTCCATTCGTGGACCCAGGCCAGAACTAGATGTGCCGGTAAGTGAATATGTAAGCAACGCTTTTGGCGTTGCCGAAGGTGGGACAGCGGGGCGATGAAGCATGGTTTTTGTACATAAATACTGCATTCGTGGGAACTGGAGGGCCGTTCGGTTTGCAATCATGGGAGGCGCCGGGGTAGTCAGTATACCCCTTTTTTCGTCGGCGAGGGCTCATTATTGAATATAGAGACTGGCTGTTACTGCTGCCAACAGTCTGTAGGGTATGCAATAGATGTGTGCCGCTCCAATCTCGCAAGATGCTCTTCGCTCTCTATGCTTAGCATGGCATCTCATGGAAGGACACATGTGCTGCTGGGTCTTCTCGCACTTGTCGACGTATGTTCAGTGATGCATTCCAAGCTGTTCGCTTATATATCGTATAGCTTTACTTGGTCTCGACTATCTGCTTGGAACAGACATAGGAGCACCCTGGAAAAGGAGTCATGATGCTGCAGGCAGGCTGGGCGAAGAAAACAACATCGCGATGTCCCAACCGGATCGGGGAGGTGAAGGACGTCGTTGGACTTGGCTTGGAACTTCCACAGCTGGCCCTTTGACGAAAACTTCACTTGGCGTCTTTGGGGGGTGTATTGTGCGATCTGGCGGCCGCACTTCTTCACCTCGACCAAGACCACTGGTTCTCAGCGAGGAGGAAGGAGCGACTCCTGCTAGCCCGGTCTTGCTCCTGCCTTCTCCTTCGTTGACCGGTTTTCGCGCGCACACAACGCACGAAAATCGGTCAACCCGCAATCTTTTTCTCATCTCTTCTTCTCATCTCACCCAACCTTGGACTTTTCGTCCACCTTCCCTCCACCTCAACTTCCCTCTCCACTCCACCGTCGCATCAATCATCCCATCCTTTTGCTACCTTCAGCCAATATCACCACCATCCCTCGTTAGGTGGTGATAGCGGCAAACACCATTGCTTCCAAGTATCTATCCTGATTATCTTACTCGTCTCAACTACCCTCTCTTACCTTCCTGCAAAATTCGTCGCATCAACATGGCGGAGCCCGATCATGGCAGTGACGGCAGACAGCTGCGTCGGTCAACCCTAGCGCACCAGCCCGGTCGCTATGCTGAGATGCTGGTGGCCGGAGTCGAGAGACCAGCTTTCACTGTTCCTGATCCTGTCTTCGACCCTGAGCCTGCTCGCCACTGCGCTTTCCCAACCATCGAGCTAGACCAGCACCCGGGACCCAGCGAGCAGTTCATTGAGGCAAGGGCCAGAGGAGACTGGCATGGAGACAATCATTCTCTCGTTCAATATTCAGACAGCGATAACGGTACGTTCCCCCGCCCCTCGACAATCCAGACGTTTTCCTAACGCAAAGTAGACCAGGATGACAACCAGGGTGAACGTCGAGCGCTGGTGGCGCACCTGCCCCCGCTGGATGCAGGAGATGATGAGATCATGTGCGGCATCGAGGAACAGAGAGAGGAGAAGAACGACATGCAGACTACAGGCGAACTGCGAACCCCCAAGAGAGGCGAAAGCTTCAAGGAGTTCTGTCTGGCTGTGACCAATGATCTGGACTGGGGATCGCCTGAGCCCGAGCCAGAGCCAGAGCCTCAGCAACAGATTGACGAAGGTCCTCAAGGCGAACTCGAGTCAAGAATGGATGGCACGTTGCAGAATGAATTTGATCCGGACTCCTGGGACAGCATCGGTACCGGAGCGCAATGGGCAATCCTGTCGACTCTCTGCCAAGCTCATAAGTTCTCAGTGGCCGTCCACCGCCTGAACCTTACGACAGACCAGATCACAACTTTCATCCAAACCTACATCAAATGTCATGAGGAGATTCAGGATTGGTGCAGAAAGATTGACAGGATCCCAGTATCTGATCTCATCCGACGCGCCGAAGACGGCCTTCACTCAGTGGATGAGTACGTCAATTTGGCTCGGCCTAGACTCCCCACGGATATACTCTTCCAGCACGAGATTGAGCTAGCCGGTGCGTTCTTGCGCAAGTCAGGCCATTCTGAGCTTGTTCACCTCATCGACAAGTGGCGTGGCACGTCTACAAACTTCGTCGAGCTCCCCATCAATCAAGACATGCTATCTTACTGCCGTGTCAAGCTTTACATGAGCAGAGGAAGCAACCGTGTGCAGGACTTCCAGCCCATCGAAGACCAAGAGCCAGAGCTGTGGCTCAAGCGATTGCGAGAGCCAGAGGATTTCAACAACGGAGTTTGCCACTTCTACAAGTATTACGGAAACCCCTATGCGCTCAACGTCCTCGACCCTCTCCTTCCACAGCAGCAACAGCTTAACGCAAACCGTGGGGTTCCGATTGACCCCAGTTTCGTCATAGAAAGAGATGAGTCCGGCCGGGCTTTGGAGAATGTTCCCGGACGGCCTTTGCTTGATTACCGCGAGCCAACCGGCGATGAACAGCCACTGCCATCCGTGGAGCAAACAATCGCTCACGACCTGGCTGCTGGCGACGCACACAATCGGCCTCGCAATACCGCCACGTTGAACCAACAGGAATTCCAAAAGACAGCCGGGGGAATCGTGGGAGTCGCAGCTCCTACAAAGACTAGTAATGCTGCACCCAAGCAGACCACCTCGTCGAGAATAGCAACTTCTCATCGGTCCAGGCTATTCAACAAACCTGCCCCTGGTCAACAATACACGTCACTGGCGGCCAGACGCGGAACTGGAAGCTACACTTCGCCGTTCATCCTCGACGCCTCCGAGTCTCCAGAGTCCCAGCCAGTCCGTAGTGGCCTTGATGCGGTCGTGGAAGAGAGTGAGCCAGCGCACTTCGAACAGACACAAGTTGACAGGAAACAGACTAGAGCCCACGAGAGCGCCGAAATTCATAGTGAAGCAGGAAACGTCTTGGAACCTGTTCCAAACCAAGCCCCGCTCGAAACCTCTTGCGTCGAGATGAGCTATGCTTCGCAGCCAGCGCCCAAATCATCTCGCAAGCGGGCGTGCGATGACAGCGATGACGAGTATGAGCCGTATGATGATGGTCAAAATGATGACGAATACCTGCCCCCCGCGAAAAAGCCCCGAAAGGCGAACACTAAGAAGCCGAATGCTCGAAACAAGACGATGCCCGCAGCGCAGCAGGCCCGACAGTCGAAGCAGACCAAGAGACAGCCAAAGCAGGTTGCTACTACGATGGCGAAGACTGCCAATCAACCTATTTCATCCGCACCGGAGGCTTTTCATCACGAACTTGCTCATGTCCAAAAGGCCAACCAGGCTGGATTCGCTCCAAACCTCCCCATACAAGCCGCACAGTCCGAGATGAACCAGCGTGGTACTTCGCAGCTCAGCAACTCTGAGAATAATCCTACGCCTTCTGTTGTACCACAGCCCGTCAAGCGTGGCCGTGGTCGTCCTCGCAAGCATCCAAGATCCGAGGATCTCGCTGCCCAAGGCGTTGGAGCTCAACCCGCAGGTTCGCAAGAGCCTGGTAACGCAGCCGGAGCTGAACTGCCCACTACAAAGACAACCTCCAAGCCCACAGTAACCAAGCCGAAGAAGAAATCCCCAAAGACACAATCGGATTCTGATGCTTCAGCATTGACAGCATCTGCAGAGACATTTGGTCCTTCTGGCAGTTCTGAGAACTCCACGGCCCCAGCACCAACGACAATGGAGTCTTTCGCCGAACTCACAACAGGCAACCAGCCACAAGTGGCCAAACCCAGGATAAAGATCAAGAACTCGAAAGTCCAGACTGGCCAGAAGTGTTCGCCAGTGCCTTCTCCAGTCCTGCCTCCCCAGGCAATGCCTGCCTCACAGCCTCAGAACTGCACCGGTGCTCAAATGGGACACATCAGCTACAGCCAACCAACTTCACAGTCTGCTACTCGCACCCAGTCGCGTCCCGCCCAAGCTCTTTCTCCAGAACACATGGAGTACCATCAGCGCAATAAAAAGTCAGCCCATGAGGCGGCTTTTCGACCAGAAGCAAGCGTGCACAATTCGCAGGTTGGCTTTGGATACCCAGCCTACAGGAACACTTCCCCCATGCCGTTCGAAGCTACCGCTGCTACGGGCACTAGCATGCAAGTCCATCAAACCAATGCACACGCAGGCGGCCAAATTTCCCCATTTGGTGTCGCTTCTCAGCACCCACAAGCTCGTCCTCAGTACTTTGAGAATAGGCTGGGATCGGAGGCAGGACATCATCAAGCGCCCCAGGCCACTAGCCAACAGACAGCTGTCCAGCTGGCTTCACAGCCTGTTCAATTTCCTTCTGTTCTCAGAACGGTTGAACAGCAAGTCAAGAACACAAAGAAGGCAAAGCACGCAACTGAGAACTCAAAGAAAGACTGAGTGACGTTATGAACTCAGCTATGATGTGCTGCTGTCTGAAGCTGCCTTGACTCCGATCTGTGAAAAGAGACGAACAAACGAGACCTGCATACAGAAAAACTACACCAACTTGGCACTACAGGTCGCCAGCAACACCTTCGCAGGCACATACGATTGCTACAACACTTGCTCACTCAGGGTGTTATTTTCTCCACATAAGAGAACGTCCTTTACTTGCTTTTTTCTTTTTTCCTTTCTTAAGAGGATAATCCACTTGAATGCGGGAGGCCGGAATCTTTGGAGGAACGTGGATAGCCTCTTTTTTGCTTGCTTTCTTTTTGAGATTGCTTGCATTTTATTTGGTTGGCCGCAGACACCAGTTTGGAATTTAATTTTCGGCTGCTTCATCTGGACATAAGCCTCTTTTTCATGTTGAGATACCAAAACATTGAGCCGGCTTGTAGAGTAGTACAGAATGAAGAAGATTGCTTACATGCCGTGATTCCCACTCTGTGTAATGCCCTCCCTCACTGAATTTACTTTGGAGAAAGACTAGGAGGGTAATTCTTCAGGCGTGGTTGAGCCATTAATGTTATGTAATCGCACGATGAGCTAAGCGTCCAGGGTACCCTAGTCGACCACAACAGTGGGTCGAGCTTGCATCACCGAGCTTCACAGGACGTTACGGCGTACACCCAGTCAAGTCAATGCACAGAAGCACCGCCTCCCACTTTGAGAACCACCCCCGACTTACCCCAAGCCACGTCCTTGGCCAAGCTTCGCAAGACTCAAACTGACGACGGTCCACTCAGCAACGACAACTCTCCGCTGACAACTGGTTCTTGACATTTACACCCGTTGGCGCCCAATCTTCTCCTTTGGTGTCTTCTCGAAAAGACGAACAGGCCAATCGTCTCCGACGCTGCCAAACGAGGCCCGAGCATCTTCAGTCCGCTGGCGCCGCCCACCTTTGCACACCACCCCTCCGAACGCCTCCAGCACTCGTACAGACATCAACATGGCTCCTCGCATCGAAGCGCAAGAAATTGAGACGTACTGGAACATCTTTTCGGCTCGGACGGGCGGGTCGCAGTTCCTGACAGGAGAACAAGCCGCGCCGGTGCTGAAGAATAGCGGCCTGACGGACAATCAGCTCGAGCGGGTTTGGGATCTCGCCGACGTCGACAACGATGGCAACCTCGATTTTGAGGAGTTCTGCGTTGCGATGAGAGTCATTTTTGACATTCTGAACGGAGTGGGTGCTGCTGCTGGTTGGTCTTCATGTTTTCAGCTGCTAATGACATTGTGTTCGATAAGGAGTACGCAGACGTCCCCACGACGCTGCCCGATTGGCTCGTGCCCGAGTCCAAAGCACATCTTGTCCAGGCGAATCGCGCGCTCACAGGGAAGCAAGTTGCCTTTGAGCAGGTCGAGGACGATCCGGACTCTCCTGGTTTGAAGGACGGCTTCGACTGGTACATGACGCCCCAGGACAAGTCCAAGTACGAGTCGATATACCAGGAGAACCGGGATGCGCGGGGAGAAATCTCATGTACGTCCAAGCTCGCACGCCCCCTGCTGCCGTCATTTTGTTTGCTGACCTGTGATGGCTGCAGTCTCTGCCTTAGAAGACCTCTACGAATCCCTCGATGTTCCCGACACCGATATCCGCTCCGCGTGGAACCTAATCAACCCCTCTGCCGGCTCTTCCATCAACAAGGATGCTTGCCTCGCCTTCCTCCACATTCTCAACAACCGCCATGAGGGCTTCCGCATCCCGCGGACCGTACCCGCGTCCTTGCGCGCCTCATTCGAGCGCAACAAGATTGACTACCAACTCGACAATAACAATCCCGCCTCTTCCCGTTGGGCCACAAAGGCAGACGACTCGACGGCAACGGGACGGAAAGCAAAATTTGGCGATCAGTATCTTACTCGCCTTGGTCGCAGCGGCTTCAAGTCGAGCGGCACCGACTTCTCTACTTCCAAGACGGATGACTGGGAGGAGGTCAGGCTCAAGAAGCAGCTCCAGGAGCTCGACGAGAAGATGGCGCGTATCGAAGCTGGCGTGGAGCAAAAGAAGGGCGGCAAACGAGACAGCAAGCCCGCTCTGGTCAAGCGGGAGCTCGAGCAGCTGCTGGACTACAAGCGAAAGGAACTCCGGGAGCTTGAGGAGGGCTCCGGCAAGGCCAAGGGCGGAGCTAGTCTCAAGAGCGTGTCTGAAGATTTGCAGACGGTGAGAGAACAAGTGGAGGGTCTCGAGTCGCACCTCTCCTCGCGACAGCAAGTACTAGAGCAGCTGCGTCGGGATATTGAAGATGAGAAGCTCAGCAGATGAGAAGCAATGTCGAACAAAAAGAAAGCATGGCGGTCTCATGAGCCCGGCTTGGGCTATTTCGTTTCTGGGGCCTGGTGCGGCTGGGAATCTTTCACGTCAAATTTACGCGGGAGTCCTTTTTTTTTTTATAATAATCTGTCCCCTTGCTTTCATGCACTTGTGCATGCAGGACCATAATGTTCATCTTGGGAGCTGTCACGGACGCGAATCCAAAGAACGCTCTGCTCGGCGGAGGAGTTGGCAGATTGCACTAGATAGATTGGGGTAGTCGTAAATATAGTCTGCGAAGAGCCCACTCCTTTTCAGATGACGGAGAAATGTCTTATTAAGAGGTTGTAAGATGTAGGTACAAATAAAACGGTTACAAGGACACCCCCATTGAAGTCGTCGTCATCGGCCTTACTCATCGCCCGCTCACCATTGTGAACCATTTGTATACTTGGGTAGCCAGTCTGAGCCCAACGTGCGACCTTTGACGGCCCAGACGAACAGGGAGGGGACCTTGACCCAGCCGACGCGACCGGCGCCGCGGCTACGACCAGTGGAGCACACAAAGATGTCGACCGGCATGCCCTTGACGACTTGCTGGTCCTTGCCCTTAATGGCGAGCTCGATATTCTTTACGACGCCGGCGGCCTGCTCATGTGATTTTGATTAGTTTCGGTCACTTGTTTGTTTTCGAAACGGAATGGAGGGAGAAACAACCAACCTGCTTGTCGGTCACCATGAAGCCCGCGCGGGGTTTCGAAACCAAGTCTCCGCAGGCCCAAACGTTGTCGGCGCCTTTCACGCGCATACAGTCATCGACGCTGACGTATTTGCGCTCCGTCAGCAAGCTGGGATCCAAGAACTCGGAGTTGGGGATCAGGCCCATGGTCGGGAGGTAAAGATCTGTCTTGAGCTTCTCGCCGTTCATGAGCGTCACCTCGGTCTGGCCGTCTGGCAGGGGACGGGAGTTGGCGACCCGGGCGTTTCGCTTGACTTGCACGCCCAGCCGGACGATCTCGTTCTCGATGCCCTTCGCAGCGTGATCCGAGCCGAGAATCTCTTCGTCGCCGCTGAGGAGGATGACCTCTTTGTCCTTGTACTCGAAACGGATTTCGGCGGCGGTCTCAACACCGGTGGGGCCGGCGCCGGCGACAACAACGTGCCGGGCCGCCTTGACCTTCTCCGCCGTCTGGTGCAGCAAGCCAAGCGTCTTCTCGTGCGAGTCGGCGCTCTTCCACGGCATGTCGGGGCTCGCGGACCGGGCGCCGGTTGCGAGCACCAGATAGTCGTAGGGCAGGGATCTCGGGCCGGAAGCGGTGGAGACAAGGGCCGACTTGCGAGCCAGGTCAAGGCCGGTGGCGGTGCCGAGAACGAATTCGAAGCTTTCCTTTGGGTAGTGTGCGAAGCCGGACTCAATCGGTTGGAAAACCTGCTCATCCTTCAATACGCCCGGCACAATGGCACGGACAGATGCCATATTCCAGTAAAAATGGGTTGTCTGCCATGGTGTCAGCCCGAAATGGCCTTTTTTGGGACCTGTTTTTTTCTCCGAGGGAATCGTGAACCCAATAGCAAGTCCTTTGCCGCCCCCATGCGTAAGACGGTGGATCGCCAGCTAATACGCCGCCTCCCCACGGGCGTCCGAAGCGTACCGCAGTACTCTCCGGTTCCTGCAATGGTCGTCCGGGCTCCCAGTTGCTCTACCAATCAACATATGCACATGTCTTACCTTTGAAACGAGAATGACTCTGAGATCCTGCTCATCCTTTCTCGTGTACTTGAGCAGGCGGTGCGCAACCGCGAGGCCGCCGTATGCGGCACCGAGGATAACGACTGTCTTGACCATGTTGATGTCGATTTGGGGGCTCGATGCTGGCGTTAGGTGAATGAAAGCTATGAATTCTTGTGCAGATGGAGATACTGCGCTTGAGAACAAGTTGAACCGACCAATATGTATCAGCAATTGCCTGAGGGTATTCGTCTAGTCGTCCAAAAAAAACTTAAGAATCATGGAAATTTCCTAGTAAAACACCTGGCAGACTTCTGGCTTTTATTTGCATTCGCACTCTGCGAGGTCCGAGACTTGCAGAGCAAAAACGGCATGGAGTGCACCCTTCGGGTCGCAAGGAGCAGATACGCGTCCTCGCCCAGAGCTAACGAACAACGCGGAAGTCTCATTAGTATTCTTGGACAGGTTTCAGTGTCCAAGTCCGTGCCGGTTGGTGATACAACATGTGGTAGGTCAGCTCACCCAGTATTGTCCGTCCTTGACCTGGTAGAATGTCGATCTGCGGTGTCCGCCCGGGCTTTCCCCACGCGCAGACCAAGACTTGATGGCCTGTCATTTGACGGCGTTGCGGAAGAAGGGATGAAAATGAGATTGGCCATCCTGCAGTGTGCTCAATGTAGAAAGCCGGTGCAAGCAGAGAGTTGATGGAGGGGATTGCTGAGATCATCTGCGTTTCCCAGTCGTTTCCTAACGGACTGATGTCGGTTGTTTTGACGCGTCAACGCCCTCTAGGACAACACGGCAAAGTGCGTCGCGCAAAGCTGCGCGGAGCTGGCAGAAGCAGTTATCCGATTCGTCTGGTCATGGATCAAGCGGCAGGAAAGCGTTGCGCAGGAACCTTATCCAGACATGAGCTCAATGGCCATGGCAAACCTGGAAGTATCCACGCGAGTGCTCCAGCATCAGAGTGCTGAAGAGGTGTACGGCCCTGACAAAGCGCATCCTGTCTGTGAAGCCTCTTCGCTTCACGGAAAGGCAAAAGTGCCGACACCGGCGAGAGCAGCACACACCAGAAACGTTGCTCTAGCAGAAGGAGGACCCTCAAATGGCTGCTCATTCAAGCGGTCAGTGGCAACCAGAAGAGAGCTGAAGCCGCCTAGATCGAGTGGAAGAACGCCTGCGAGGTGCTCCTCTACGCATAGTAAAGAGCTCGTCACCGTCGACGAATGCCGTGCGCCCAATCAAAGTGCCTGGCGGAACTCTGCGGCTAGCTCAGTCGCAACGTGACCGAACGGCCGTCTCCTCGATGGCGTCGGAGGGCGAGAGGCATCTTGGAGCCGAGGTCAGCCAAGTCCAGTCATGCTGGTACCCAAACCCCCGTTGAGAGGTCTGCCAACCCCACATGCGCTGGAAGGACGTTAGCCAAGCACCTGCACCATCGCTTTGGCCCCCAGTCCAGTCCGTTCCTTTCCCCAAGTTCCAAGCTCCGCCAGAGCTCTATTGTGGGCAGCCACCTGCACCTCTTCGTGAGCCGTGTCGGCAGGGACCCAGTCGCTGTGGCAAGGGACTTCTGGCCTGTGAATTCGTCGAGTGATACCTTACGTCCATACGTGCTCGGTAGTAGTACTTGGCGGCTATGACATAGAGCAAGGTGCCAACGGCAAGTGCTGCTTTGTGCGAGGTGGCCTGTGGCGGTGCAATCAGCAGCAATGCCAGGGCGCCCACCTCGAACTAACCTAAATGACAGCATCAGCTGCCCCGCGCGCATATGATGAAGCGTGGGCGGGCGGGTGGACCTCCTAACCCCGCCAAAAGATCCAACCCTTTCCTCCGCCTCCCAACACCGGGCAACCTTCTCCACGAAACGCTCAACAATCCGTCCTTCGACCATATCTCGAACCAGATTCTCGACACCTTTAGACCTAGATCTTTCTTGTCCAAACGGACCTCACATACACCATGTCTGCCCCTCAGAGCGAAGCCTTCAAGCAGGCTGTCATCGACAGCAAGAAGCTTACCCAGAAGCCCAGCAACGATGAGCTCCTCGAGCTCTACGGTACGTTTTCGTCGCCTCTTTTGCAAACTTCAAGCTTTTGTAGCTGACGATCTATCGCACCACAGCCCTGTACAAGGTCGGCACTGGCGAGAAGATCGCCGATGCCCCCAAGCCCGGCATGTTCGACCTGAAGGTAAGACCTGGTTGCCGTCAAACCCCCGCATCCCACGTGCAGTGCTAACGAGACACACGATACAGGGCAAGGCCAAGTACAACTCGTGGCAAAAGGTCGTCGACGAGGGCAAGACCGTCGAGCAGGCCCAGGAGGAGTACATCGCTCTCGTCAACAAGCTCAAGGAGTCTTACGGCTACGACGCCAACAAGGAACCCGAGACCGTCGGCGCGTAAACGTACCGCGAACATAGGAATGCCATGAGAAACGACACGGTTTGAAGCGCAATGACGAGTCTAGTCGCAGACACTTCACATGAAAATCTCCAAGGATCAATATTACGATACCACATGTCCCTTGACAGACAACCGCGCCCTCCGTTCGCATGTGAAAGTGTGTTGCCCCGTCCATCTATGCTACTCCCCAAAACCTTCCCATGTTGTCTGGTTCTGCATGGGCCATCGTTGCGACCCAAGGTATCTCGTCCTTTGCATAATGCTGAAGTGGTAGGTTGTAGGGTATGCGAACGCCAACAACTGGGTTGCTTCCTTCGGTGTTGTTCGAGGGCAAATCTGTCTGGAACGTGCTCACCATGGTCGCCTTTTCGGCCATCATCTCAGGCCATACCAAGACGCCGATCTCCCACGAAGCAATTCTCACCTCCTGCGAGGCTCCTGCCACCTCGCCCCATGCCTGCTTTGAAATGTTGGCCGATGTGACGAGCGCCCAGTCGACTGACTTCTCACCATATCGAATGTATGTCTTTATATGCGGTGCAGCTCGCTTCCTGCCGGCCTCTCTCACGGTCGCTGTTTCAGATAATGCTACTACCTTGTCAGTCATGTGGTTGATCAGGCTCGATGAGCACAACACCGTCCCTCACCTTTTCCATTGGGGGCATCGTTTCCCCAGTGGCAGAAGAAAGGATGCAGATAGGCTAGTTGCTTCGCCTGCTGTTGGGACTGGATTTTGGTGTGAATTGACCCACCAGATGCATAGCCGTCCAAGCTTCTCCTGATCTCGTCTGCCGTCGGAAACACAACCTTGAATGTTGGCTTGGTCTTGTTTGGCCCCTTGTCGCTGGATTCAGAGAGAGGGTTGAAAAGACACTTCTGAATCCAATTGTCGGTGGGTCCCAGAGTAGCGATGGACGAGATCTGGACCACAATCTCCGACTTGCCGTCCTGGACAGGAACATGGCGAAGTACGTGCTTTAAGGCGGGCCAACCCCATAATGTTTGAGAGGTGTCATGTATTGAATGGCGGCCCGGCACGCTTGCGATGAGTGCAGCCTTCACGCTTGAGAAGTCATACTGGCTCAACTTGTCGACCAGATCCCTGAGCATGGGTCTCCGAACATTGTAAGCTTTCAAATAACTCAAGAGGTCGTGCTTGAATCTCTGGCCGGTCCCGATAGCATTTTCGCAGGACGTACTGTCCTTTTCTTTCAGCAAGCGAAGAAGGGGCGACATCCAGACGGCGTTTGTCATGTTGGTCCAGTCCTTGGCGATCATGTTGGCGGTGTGTATGACGACCTGCGCCGAATCATCATGGCGGACCAGTATCATCATTTTGGAATGATGCGTGCCAAATATCTCTGGCATATAGGCACCGTGGAGCTCTACATTGCTGTACGCTGAGGCTTCCTCCTGGGCCAAACGTGAGCAACTGTGCCGCTATCGGCGTTGGGATCTTTCATGGACTTACTTGAAGAGCCAAGCGGTTTGGGTCTTCTCTTTTCCAAAAGCCATGGACCACGTGGACTTTAACGAGACTCTTGGTGTCCTCGTCGAAGTGGCTCATTAGAAAATGGATATCATGCAGGTAGTTGAACTCCCAACACTCTGCGATCAAGGGGTCTCCGAGGATGTCTTTGAGGGCAACTGCATCTCGATTCGCTGCTTCTGGGAGATCCCGGATCCAAGTCAGCTGGAATGGAGATTTGATGCGCTGGCCACCATTGTTCTTCTTGTGAGGAGGACTGATCGGTCTGCTTAGAGATCGCGGCCCTTCTGCCTGCGTCGACGTTTCCGAGTCCTCGACGTCGTCACATATGCGGGCTCTTTTCGTGGGCCGTTCCATCTCGAGCATCCAAGAAACGACGCTTATTGAGAGTGGCCGCGTTGATTTGCGATCAATAATTTGTCGCCAATGTTGAATCGTGGACGAATACCTTTTAACGAGAGGAGGGAAGAGAAAGGTGGAATCAACAGCGGTTGCTCTTGCATACCTAAAGCAGCGAGACGCCGGGGCTTGGGCTGGTGCGTTGGACACCGCGCCTGCCTGCAGACCCATGTACGTGCTTGTAGACATGGACCTCACCTGCATAAAGTATTTGTCTGGACAGAATCGGACCCTGTTTCCAACAAGAAGAAGGCTTCTGCTAGAAAGAAGAAATGAAACTTGCATCATCTGCTTTTTACGATTTCAGGCTTGAGCTTCACACTCTGTGTATATCTTGGGTTCCCTGTGAAGTGGCATCTGAAAGCAGTGGCGCAGGGTTCCAGGGCCGAAACCTTTCCCCTGCAGAGCCACTGTGCTACCGACCTTTCCCTGTAAATTACCGAATGTGCCTGGAGGTAGCGCTGCCGCAGAACACCGCGATGGCGCGACATTCTACCATCCCGATCTCATCGTTCAGTTACGACACTAACACAACCAACCGACTCAAGAAAACTCCTCTATGGCACCAGTTGACAGAACCGTGTTCATGTATGCCAGATTGCTCTCAAACGTTCGATTGTCGTCACCGTCACAGGCGGCTTTCGGCCCGCCAATCTCGGAGATGGCATCCTCTTCGACCGAATCGACGTGGTCTCTCGTCCTAAACAGCCCCAAATTTCGTTTCTGAATTTCTTGCAGAAGCTGTTTGAAAAGGAGAAACTCGTCATATGCTGGCACGGTATCTCCTGGCTGGCGCCTGGCTTCCTCGCCGAGCATTCTGGCCATCAAAATCTTCATCGGCGGGTCACCTGCAACGTTTGGCTGGTTTGGACTTAGACCCCTTATGCAGCCATCCCTAAGAATCTCGATGACGTCCAGATTTGCACTCTGAGCCGCCAAGTGCAAGATACCAGACCCATTCTTATCGATCGCATCATACTTCGCTCCTCTTTTCAACAAAAGCTCCAACAGGGCGGCGTTTCGCCACAGTATAGCGTCGTGAATGGGTGTTCGACCTTCATAACCTGCCTGCTTCGAGGGAAGGTCGATGTCCATGCCATTATTCACGAGCAAGTCCAACGACCGTTCCCAATTGCGTCTCCTGAGGTCATTTCGCTCAACATTGCATACTCCACGAGCAAACCATGACAGGGGAGTTTCCCAGTTCAGGTTCGTCTGAACAATGGTGTCACATCCATGTTCCAGAAGAATTCTAATCATGTCGGGGTTGTTGAAAGCGAATATGATGGGAGTCTCCCCTCTGGGCCTAAGGTGATTTTGAACTCTAGCATGCACATTTGCCCCAGCTTTCAAGAGTGCCGAAGCCATCTTGATCGAGCCGGGCGGCTCGTAGTGGGCAGCGTAGTGAAGAGGTGTCCAACCTCCTCGCGTTCTCACTTCTAAGCCAGCGCCTCGGCTACGGAGGACCTCAAACGACTCGTAGTCGTTCAAGAAGATTGCCCAGTGCAGTGGAGACCACCCGATATCGTCAAGGCAATCTATGTCGGAAGGAGCCTGTGTAATTGCATCTGATAGGGGAATCGGAACAACTCCGAGTACAGAATCGTGTAAGAGCGTTGAGTTTTCTCCTTGTCGGTCTTCCCCACGTGCAAGTTGCTCAATCATATAGCGATGGTCTGGATCGAACGTGGAAAGATGGTCTTGCTTCGATGCGGAGTAGAGAATTACACGTGCCCGCTTAGGCACAGTCCTAAGTAACAGTGAGAAATGGACTATTTGAGTTGCTTGGCGCATTTGGTGAACAAACCATCCTGTCATGTTTCGAGTGCTCCTCGACCAGCCATGATCGAGAAGAAACTTGGCGACCTCCAGGTTTACGTTTCGAAGTGAGATCTGGAAAGATGCCAAGAGTCAACGACAGACGAAATAAAGATAACCATAGAGTCGTAGCGTGTCAGCCTACCATGAGAAGTGAGTTACCAGTTTCATCAACGTCTGTTGGCAGTACGGTTGAGTTTGAAATGCCTCGTTTGATCCAATCTATGTCGGAGTTGTAGACCGCTGACAGCATCTGCACACTTGGCACTACCCTCGGAACTTGCAAATACAAGCTCGACCCCAATCCAGTGAGACTCCCCCAAGAGGTCGTGAGAAAGACGGCTCTGGATACGAACCATTTCGGAAAGACGTAGATGAGTCGCAGAGATGAATGATTACGGCACCCTAAATCATCGCACTTCCGGGGCATCAATAAGGGCATGTCGTTATACTCGAAGAACAACGATCCTAGCACTGACTGTACCCATGTCGGTGTCCGAACCGACGAAGGTGAATGACACTGGCACTTGCAATAGGGGGGGCAAACCTGTCGGAGTGAGGCGTGCACAGAAATCGATGACAGGGGCTCGTCGACTCCGGCATTCGACCTCTGTCCATGGGGAGTGGATGGCAGTGATAGATCTGCGCTCGTGGCCTCAGCGGCTAACATCCGATGAAGTGAAGCGCATATGTCGTTGTTCTTGCTCTGCGTTTCTCGAAGCCCAGCGTTGCCCGCCTCGATTCTGTCGTTCATCGTTTTGAAGCAGGCACTGAAAGCTTGCTGTCCGTCGAGCACGACTTTTGTTTGCCGTGTACTATGCAACATCAGCAAGTACGAAGCCATATAGTCCGATAAAAATCAAGTCACCTTTGTGACGAAACAAGAGCAATGAAACGCAACATCAAGCTCTGCTTGGTTTTGCTCGCTTTCGCCCGAAGCCTGGCGACGTTGTCCTTCTCACGCAGCCACTTCCGCTTAGAGACACGCAGCTCTCCAACTATATCTGCATGCCGGTCTGACTTTTGGAGGCGTCCGCAGAGGGCTTCTAATTCATTAACGATGGAGGCAAAGTCGTCTTCCAAGGTCTGTGTTGCAGAAGCAGTGATGCCAGGGACGGCTGCATTTTTGGTGTCACCGTTTTCCATCTCCTGAAGAGAAGTTTTGACTTGCTCGGCGACTGCCTGGAGGTCTGTGAGCTCATTGCTAAGGTCGCAGAAGTCCGCTGGAATCTGTCGCATGGAGGAGAAGAACTTGACTCCCACACCGAGGGCCTGAACTAGAGCGATCACGCTCGTCGTGATCGAAAGCGGATCCATGCTAAATTAGTTGAGCAGAGATTTGAGGTTCACATCAGCCGTATGGACCAAGATGTGCAGGACAACGAAGGGCTGCGAGGAGAACGACTTGCATATCAGCTGAGCATCTGGGCGAATCATCTACTCCTTGGCAGAGCAGCGCAGGCCAAGCCATATTGAGCATACGGAGGCGGTGCAGCTCACAGGCAACTGTCAGTCAACACGGCAAACACCTTATCTGAGCCCTTTCAACGAGGCCACGACAGAATATTAGGCCTGACTTGACGAAATATTGCCGGAGTTAAGCGATGAGACTGATATGAGTCGTCACTCTCTCAGTCATGCTAGCCTTATGTAATCCGGGGTCACTGAGAGTTTTCCACTCCAACCCCTGGCTGGAGTGGTGGTTGACGATCCGCACGTGTCCAGGAAAGCAAGACTCTAGACTTTTCCTTGTTTACGAACTCGCTTTCCGCTGCGGGCGGGTGGCAATCTGGATGGAGAACCTGCTTTTGCTAGACTATTCTTATCGCAATGTGTGGAGCCTTGCATTCAGTGATGTTGCAGGGTTGAAGCTTGCGGGGCCTCTGAGTGGCGGGATCGAGGGTGAGACCAGGCGGGCAGCTGGCACCACGCGCTCCCAGCTCTGCGTGCGCTCACGTAATGCTGCTGAAGGTACCCGTGATTGCCTCATCTCTCAGGCAGCCCTTGTCCTTGTTTAGTCCCGGTCCTGCAGTGCTGGGCGTGGCCCTGCGCAACGGCTGGCTGGCTGGCTGGACCACGCTACCCGCAGAATCTTGACACACGGTCTTTCTCCTGACCTGCCAGCCCAGGCCTGTCACTTCCATCGGCTTTGTTGGCTCCTCCCCCTTTGCCAAAGCACCACCACTACCACCACTCTTTTTTTCTCCTTCGACGCCGCTGGACGAATTCGGGAGGTTTGGGCTCAAAGACGAACGAAGGGAAGATCGATTTTATTCGTCTTCTGTCTTCCCCCCGACCGCTCAATCTCCATGACTTCGACTACTCAATAGGTTTACCTAGACCCTTTTTGTGACCCCTCGACCATCACATCACGACACGACCCGATCGATCCACTCTCCTCCTTCCCTCCACGACGCCTGCGCAACCAAGCGCATCCTCAATCGATCGCGTCCCTCTACTCATTTTTCGCCGCATCTTCCACGACACGCTTCGCGACTTCTCTTCCTTCGAACCACTTCGCACCCGCGCGGTGCAACCTCGTCGCCGTCATGAGGTTATCTCCTTTATTCCTATTCCTCGGCTCGTCCCTGCTCGGCGGAGTCCAAGCAGCAGCGAAAGAGGATGATCGCGAGAACACCTACTTCAATTCGATGAAGGTGCCTCCAATACTCGAGCTTACCCCCGATACTTTCGACAAAGAAGTCAAGTCTTCGCAGTTCATGCTTATCAAGCACTACAGGTATGCTTGCTTGCTTGCCACCCGGTTGACGCCGACGACTGTCCAGTCGCGCGATAGGTGATTGACCGTCTTCTAGCCCTTACTGCCCGCATTGCATAGATTATGCGCCCATCTTCCAGACGCTGTACGAATTTTACTACACTTCAAAACCCGAGACCGAGGACAAGTCTTTCACGGAATTCTACGACTTCCGCTTCGCCACAGTCAACTGCGTGGCATACTTTGACCTTTGCGCTTCACACAATGTTCAATCGTACCCCAGCACCATCCTCTACAAGAACGGCGAGGTCGCCGAACTGATCAAGGGCGTCAAGGAAATCGATCAAGTCAGCCCCATCCTTGAAAAGTACTTGGAAGCTGCCAAGCCTGGATCGAGACCCCGAAGCCTCAGCCTCCCTGAAGCTGGCGACAAGTACTCTCCCGACAAGGAGCCTGGCAAGGCCGATGACTCGAAGAAAGCTGCGGACGACAAGACCGATGCCAAAGCTGACTCCAAGGCTCCCGCAAAGGCCGATGAGAAGACCGACGCCAAGGCGCCACCTAAAGAACAGACCCCGCCCAAGGCTCCTCCTGCAAAGGATGAGAAGGCCACCGAGGCCAAGGGCGATGCGAAGGCCGATTCCAAGGCCGATTCCAAGGCCGATTCCAAGGCCGATTCCAAGGCAGATGCAAAGCCGGATGCTGTTAAGGCGGAGACCAAGCCTAGCACCACTGCAGAGAAGGCTGTCGCGACTCCCACGAAGGCCATTGTCAAGAAGCCCACTGTCACCCCCAACAAGGAGGGTATTTCAGTGCCTCTTACCGCGGAGAAGTTCCAAACTCTTGTCACCATGACCCAGGATCCTTGGTTCGTCAAGTTCTACGCACCGTGGTGCCACCATTGCCAGGCCATGGCGCCTAACTGGCAGCAACTGGCCAAGGAGATGAAGGGGAAGTTGAACATTGGAGAAGTGAATTGCGATGTCGAGTCCAGGCTTTGCAAGGATGTTCGCCTCCGTGGTTATCCCACCATACTTTTCTTCAAGGGCGGTGAGCGTGTCGAGTACGACGGGCTTAGAGGCCTCGGCGACTTCGTACACTACGCCGAGAAGGCTATCGATATCTGCGACGGCGTTCAGGACGTGGATGCCGAATCCCTGCAGGTCCTCGAGGAGAAGGAGGAGGTCATCTTCATCTACTTCTACGACCATGCTACTACCAGCGAGGACTTCATGGCGCTCGAGCGCCTGCCTCTCAGCTTGATCGGCAAGGCTAAGCTCGTGAAGACCCAAGATCCCGTTCTCTTCGCCCGCTATAAGATTACCACCTGGCCCCGCCTTCTCGTTTCCAGAGAAGGTCGCCCAACATACTACCAGCCACTTACACCCAAGGAGATGCGCGATGTCCACGGCGTTCTAAACTGGATGAAGTCGGTCTGGCTGCCAATTGTTCCTGAGATGACAGCCTCCAATGCCCGTGAGATCATGGATGGCAAGATCGTTGTTCTCGGCATCGTCAACAGAGAGGACCAGGAAGGCTTCCTGAGAGCCAAGCGCGAGTTGAAGAGCGCCGCCAACGAGTGGATGGACAAGCAGATTCTTCTGTTCCAGCATGAACGACAAGAGCTCCGTGATGCCAAGCAGCTTCGCATTGACGAGGCTGACGATCGCGGTGACCAACGTGCCTTGCGCCAAGCCAAGGCTATTCGCATCAACATGGACAAGTCCGACCGCAAGCAAGTCGGCTTCGCTTGGGTTGACGCCGTTTTCTGGCAGAGATGGATCCGTACCACTTACGGTATTGACACCAAGGATGGAGATCGTGTTATCATTAATGATGAGGACGTAAGTCTTTCCCCACGAAACGCTCACTTGGCAAACAGGCAGACTAATCATATGGACAGAACCGCCGATACTGGGACACTACCATCACTGGTAACAACATTCTTCTGTCGAGGACATCGATCCTGGAGACCATTAACAAGGTCATCACTTCGCCGCCCAAGATCAAGCCCAAGCTTACTATCTCGAGCTTTGAGAAGATCTTCTTCGATATGCGCGTCACCTTCGTTGAGCACCCGTACCTGACTATGGGCTGCATTCTCGGCTTGGCTCTTGGTGCTGCCTCCTGGTTCCGTGGCCGTGTCCGCAGGGGCCGCGGCGGCCACTTCCGCCTGGAGGAGTCTTGGGGGAACAAGGAGCTGATGAAGGAGGGCCTGCTGGGACCCAACGGGAACGGCAAGGTGGACTAGAAGCCCAACGCGCACGAAGAAGGCCTGAGAAGGGCTGAGGAGTTTAGGCACCTCCCCAAACGGGAGTGTCTTCGAAAGTTGGACTAATGGAAAGCCATGAATGAGGCTATGACTATTTGGGCTCGACTAAAGGGCGTGCATGTGCACGTTATGCACGCACGTTTCCGGGGACAGGATGAAGAAAAAAGAAAACCTGAAGCATTGCGATGCCTACTCACGGAGTTGACGGGGACAATTTTATGTTTTTCCTTGCTTTCTTTGTCTCTGAGGGAACTGTGGTGCAGGGCAGGAGGTCTGTATAATACTCTTTGTTTTGGTGGAAAATGCAATGCCCTGCACGCCATTTGACAGATTATACATTGTTTTATTCCAGTTACAACACATCATTATGATGAAGCTCTTGGGCTGACGGGAGATGTGGACTGAGTGCAGGTCAGAGGAACATGCCTTGATGTAGACGAGGTCAACTTGACCACACATGTGAGAAGCCCAAGACGGTGTCAATTGTTATTCAATGTCCGTTGGTACGCAAAGCCAGAAATCCATTCATGACGAATCTGTCTGTTTCCTTGCTAGGATGGTGTCCATGTGTTTGACCTGCCCTGAAGCCTTTACTTTCTTACTGTTTTTTTCTTTTTCTAAATCCAGAAGTCCTCCCAGTATGTCTGTGTGTGTTTCCTGCTTCACCACCCACTGGGTTTTACACGCCACTGCCACTTTATGTGTAGAGCTCATCAGTGAAGCTGTTCAGAGACAGACCCTCCTTGGCAATGTCATCCACATCCACGAGGAAGTCGAGAGGCATCTCGACAATGTTACCGCGCACACGGTTGAGCCAGTCTTTGACTTCCCGAACACCGCCGGGGAACTCTTCCTTGACGACGTGGCCGTACTCGACCTTGCCAGCGTTGTCGCCCTCGCCCTCGCCCTCGCCCTCCTTCTTGGCGCCGGGGATGATGAAGTGGCGGGAGAAGAACTCGTCGTAGTCCTTCCAGGTCCGCACATGATCGTTGGGCACGTTGTGGAATACCTTGGAGAAGACCTCAGTGTTTGTGCGCGCCGTGCCCTCCCACAGGTTCCAGAACTCGCGCGACATAGGATCCTGCACCAGGCGATCGGCGGGGGAGCCCCAGTCGTACACGTTCGGGCCGCGCTCGACGGACGTCCAGTTGTCGTCGGGCCGGTCCCAGCGCTGGTCGGGCAGCAGACCGAGGTGCTTGCGGAAGATCTGGCGACGGAGGGATGCGGCGAACTTGGAGGCTGTGTAGGGACGGCCGGCCATCTCAGACTCGACGGGCGTGGGGTCCTCGATGACGACGGCGATCTCGGAGTCGTGGGTGCCGAGCTGAGAGCGATCGTTGAGGTTGGCGGAGCCGACGATGACGAGGTTGTCGTCGGCGATGAGGAGCTTGGAGTGGATGTAGAGCTCCTCGCTGACGAAGGCGTCCATCTCGGCTTCCGGCTCGCCTTGCCAGGGGACGCTGTGCAGGTCCGGACCGGCGTCCATGTAGCAGGACGAGACGGTGTCCCAGGTGTGATCACCGACGCGGGAGGCGGCCTGCTGGTAGCGGTCGTACTGGGTGTTGCGCCCGCCCCAGCTGGCACCGGTGCCCTCGCCACGGGGCTCGTAGCCAGCACCGACGGCATCGTCATGCTCACGGCGGGCGTCCTCGTACGAGACACCGCTCTCGCGCTCAGCGCGGGACATGTCGGAGGAGACGTTGATGCGGTCGTAGTTGCGAAGGTTGTAGAAGCGGATGTAGCGGCCAGGGTCGTCGATACCGCCCTCGTTTCGGAGGGATTCTATGATGCTGTGTCCGCCGCGGCTGATGGAGTTGTATTGGAACTCCATGATGGCGCGGGTGCCCAAGGCGTCGTCCGCCTTGAGATCGCCGGCGAAGGCGGGAACGGCGGGCATGTTGACAATGACCTTGAAATCCTCGCCGTTTCGGTGGGCGCGGAGGATACGGTCGACGATGGCGCGGCCGATCTTGTTGGTGACGGGGTGCTGCTTGTCGCTCGTAGCAGTGATGAAGAACTTGTCTCTGTTAGAAGCGGTATCGGTTTCAGCAAAGGGGAGGTTTGCTTACCTGGTTCTCCATGTAGACGAAATGTTGAGCCCTGGTGATGGCGTCAATATAGGCATTGGCGATGGAGTGCTCGGTGGGATGGCCGGAAGACCACTTGGTACAGCTAATCTTCATTAGTGATTGCATCTGAGACAGACAGATGGACGCCAGATTACCTGCGAGTGAGCTGGATATTGGCCGACTGATCACCGCGGTCTTGACGCAGAGGCCTGCCATCGTTCTCGGGCTGGTCGTCGCTGACCATCAAATGGCTCATGCCTCGGTTGATGCGGTCTCCGAGATCACCGAAAAGATGGCCTGCCTGGTGGCCAGCGCCGCCGAAGAAACCACCGCCCTGGCCGTCCTCGGCAATTCTTCCCGACTCCTGGCTGAAGCCGTCGATTCTGCCATACTTTCCAGGGTTCTTCTTGGTGTACTTGTCATCAAAGATGAAGTTCCTACATCCAAGTCAGATAAAGTGTTGCTGCCGCCGAGGAAGGCAGAATGAACCAACCATCTGTCGACAAAGTGTTCCGACAAGCTTTGAACGATGGGACCACTCAAGCTGATGGCAACATCAGACCAGCCCATTCGCGAGCTCTTGGTGCGGTCGACTAGCGAATGAGTGAGTATGTGTCTCGAGTGTACGGAAATATTGACTGACGCTTGTTCTGCTCCCAGTTATCAACGTCGGCAAAGTCATAGACACGCGCGTTGTTGTAGTCTTGGCCAGGGAAGACGATGGCATCCAAGTTGCCGGGATGAGCGTCCGCAATGGGATGACCTATACGTGTGTCAGAGCGGCGCTTAATACCATTCCCAGTTCAAACTCACTGTTGGTATCCCATCTACCGAAGCCTGAAATCTAGTTAGCGGAGTTCTCATCTTGATTCAATGGCTCAACCGTTACTCGTCACTTACACATATCCAAACCTCCCATGAAAGCGATTTTGTTGTCAATGAGGCAAAGCTTCTCATGGTGGGCCCAGAACAGAACGACGCCGTCGGTGGCGGTACCGTAGATGGTCTTCAGGGCATCACCAGAGAAAGTGGATAGCTTGAACGTGCTCAAGGACAGGTTTGAGAAGTTCTCGCCAATCTCACTGTTGAGGTCGTATCCAGTGGGAACATGGTCAGGGTGTCGAAACACGCCGATGTTGGGATGAAGGCTTTCCAGGTAGGTCCTTGTGTGCTTGAGAAGATATCAGCATGAGTCAAGTATCGATGGTGTTCATGGATGGAGCTTTGGTTGCAGGTGTGCATCGACATGGACTTACAGATGACTTCACTATCGAGCGAGTTAGCTCTATGAGACGGGTTCTGACATGGATGAATACTCACAGGTCAGTGCGGCCTCGACTTCCTTGTAGACAATGATGTTGACCTTGACACCTCGCTCAGCAGCAGCCTTGAGCAGGTTGTCGAGACGGTATTGTTCATTGGCAGAAGGGGGCCGGCGCAGGTAGAGCTCCGGGCTCAACCACCAATCCAGAATGTAGATACTCTCGCGGGCCTCTGCATAGCGACGCGGTCAGTCGCAGTCAATAGTGCCGGCAGGATGCTCATGTGTGTGTGTGTGTTCTTACGCTCAATGGCCTCGGAAACGGCCCAGAAATAAGAGCATCCGTCGACATACCACTTGGCGTTGCCGGTGGTCTGCGCAGCAAAGGACTGGAATCGGTTTCCAGTGTGGGCATCGGAATGGTGCTCCTCGCAGGAGTGACCGGAGTGAGTGTGCGCGTGCCTCTCTTCCCCAAAGAGGGCTTCGACGCCCCGCTCCACCTTGCGGAAGATGCGATCCATGAAGGCGGGGAGCTGCTGTAGTCAGACGGGATGAGGTCGTGGCCGAGACCGATTAGGTCAAAATGAGGATGTGGTACAGGGCGAGCGAGTGCACGGGAAGAGGACGGCTGCCACGAAGAGAGGAGATGGTGGTGCTGTTGGCTAAGCTTTTGAGGAGGGGAACCGGGAGTTGAAGTTGACGATGAAACAGGGTCTGGAGAGCGACGTCAGAGGGGCAGCTTACATAGATTCAGGTACCTACATCGGATTTACCTCATGTTGTTGCGGTGAAGGGGAGGTGAGACGACACCTCTCGGATGGCCCGTGTGTCCGGGGCTCCCGCGAGTGGATTGATACGGGAGGTTCCCATTGCGCCGAGTTGTGATAGCCTATGGGAAAGGCCATCGTCAAGAGGGTTGCAAGGGTGAGGTGGGCAAACCTGATTTGTCTGTAACATGTGTCCTTCAGCAGTTTGACCGCTGGGGAAGAGGGGAATCCATGGAGGGGCCGACGCTAGGTGAGGTAGACTATTCGCAGACTGGTGGGTGGGTAGAGAGATACAGATGTTTGTTTACTCGTCAACAAGAGCTCTGTGCATGCATGCATGCATGGTTGGCTGCTTTGGCATGATGAACGAACCGTCGGATACACAGCCAGTGCCTCATCTCTGCCAAGGGCCGCAACTATCCGTACCTTACACCGGTTGAGATCTGGCAGACGCCGGCGCAACGTCTCAGCTGCCGGGCTAGTCTTGACAAAGACCGAAGGAAGAACGGCTGTATGCTGAGGCCCGACATGCCGCGTCAGTCGTGCCAGGGACCGCTTCGAGTTGTCGGCTGATAATATGGCAAACTGTCTAGTGCATGCAGTTTGTCGTCTTTTGATACCTATTTCCTTTTAGTTCCATAAGACTTACTTCGCTACCTACCTAGGTAGGTAAGGTAAGGAAATTACAGATACCTACCTATTTACGAATACCTTACAGTTGCAACGCCGCGACAGCGTCCGAGGTCGGGTGCTTCAGGGCGGCACACTACGCAACGACTTGTAGGTAGCCAAGCCACCTCAGGTAGGTAAGGTAGGTAGGTAGGTGACTGATGCTGCGGGGCAAGCCCGCTCCAGGACCCTGCCGGCGTGCGGTGCCGTGTCCCTTGCGCCGGGAATTCCCTCGCAGCCGGCGGGCTGGGCGAGCTTGGGGCCAATCCAATACCTACCTTAAGATAGGTACCTTACCTTGCCTTACGCCGTACCTACCTTACCTTACCTAGGTAGGTACGAAGAGACGGCAGACCACTGACCAGCGCCAATTCAGCCGTTAATTAAGACTTTTGGAATGGAACCGGGAAGTGCAGGAAAGCTTCCATCACCACAAAAGTCCCTTCTGCAGACGGACCTGAGCATTTCGTATAAAACATCTACCCGTTTCTCAATTACCTTACATCAATTGACTCACACGCGGCCCCCAAACCGGAGCAACCTGAGCCAACCTGCCTACCTACCTACCTACCTACCTACCTCACCTTACCTAGATGCACTCTAGGTAGCTTGTTTTGTCGCACCTTCCTGTCTCGTGCCGTCTTTCTCACCTGAGAGAGACACACAGAGAGACAAGCTGAGGTGAGCTTTTCTGTCATGCACTCACTCACTCGCTTCCCCCTCACTTGTCAAAGAACCCCCTCACTGCTTTACAGCTTCGCCGCTATATGCCCCGAGAGCCCTTTCTAGGCGACCTAACTTCTCTGCATTCCCACATTCAAGATTGCCAGAGGCCCCCGTTTCTGATATTTTGGTCCAGTTCAACTCTTGACCAACACCTTATCCCGGTTAAGGTTTGGTGGGCGTCCAGTTCCCCAACTTCGCGCCGGGGTCAGAACACGCATACCCTCGCACCGTTCCTGCGCTGTCGATCTCTGTCAGTTCTTGACTGCCGGTCGAGTTGCACAATAACCCAAGATTACAACGGCGGCATCGCAGGAGCCCGCCAGCGTGTCTTTGGCCGAATTACAGGGCACCCGGCGAATATCCAGCCCCCAAATTCGTCCCTCAGAGCCCGAGAAAACCCTGCGACAATGTCCTCAAGCTCGGGAACCCCCTACATATTTTCGCCCGCAGACCACAGCCATCTGATTCCGTATCTTGCAGCCCTCCATGCATCGTGCATCAGCCATGACCGGACTCTGGCCACATTCTTGCCGCCTCTGTCCCATGAGAAGTTGCTGGGTTACTGGAAGGAGCGCATTGCAGAGGTCAGTGGAGGCACTCGCATGATGCTCATTCTCCTCGACGAGTCTGAGCCAGGAACAAAGCCCAAGGGAACAGAGCTCATGGGCGTTGTCATGCTCTGGATGCCATATTCTGAGACGGGTCCTTTCCGCGGTTTTGTCGAGAAGCTTCTCATCAGCCCAAAGTTCCGTCAGCGCGGCGGTGCGAGGATGCTGATCGCTGCTTTGGAAGGCGAGTCCATCAGGAGGGGACGGACGCTATTGGTATGAGCCACCCTACATCCAGTTATCCGACACCATTGTTGACAATCCGCGCAGATGCTTGATACGGAGGCCGGCAGCACAGCTGAGGAAGTATGCAGAAAGTTCGGCTACATCGAGGTTGGCAGGATTCCCAACTTCGGCATCAGCCCTGCGGTTCCACGACAGCTCAAGGATGAAGTCTTTTTCTACAAGGCGCTTCAGTCTTAGTGAACGTAGCCTGTTCTCGTCCACGGCGTTGGGAGAAGAGGAGTTATTCTAGATATTAGGACATTGTTGAGGCGACTCAAATTCGTCATAATTCCGTGGGCCAAAGACGGGATTTGAAATATACTGGTTTTCAGAATTCTCCTATCTCACCATCGACTTGATTAAATCCCGATGGACTACTTTGCTGACTGGCTGCAACTTGTGGGAAACACATTGGAAATACTCGGTGACTGGTCGGGAAGATACTTCTCGCCCTGTCTGCATTTGACCTTCGATGCGACTGCATGTGTTCATGCAGCTTTGACATCCTCTCTGAAGAACGTCTTGGCCAAAGTCCCCCCGCCAGACCGGAGACAGCTTACATATCCGAGTCTGTAACGCCGATCGGCGACAATGGCAACCCCACTCCGAAGCTGAGCTTTTGGAGCAGACATCACCTTTCCCAGCCGGGACTGAGCCGTTCTTTGGGATGCGGGGACGGCGAAGCTCGTTGGCTCGATAGCTGTGATATTCACAGAGCCCGGGATCACGCAATCCATCCACAATCAGATACCACCGGCATCACGGGCGGTATTTCTGCTGTAGTCAGGACGTCTCGGGTGAGAGGGGAGGCTGGAGACAAATGGATATATCTAGCCAAGAGATCTCCCACCTCTGACAATGCCGAGACAGCTGTTAGCTACTTAAGAGCCGCACTTTCCCTCAACTCGCAACTCGCAACTCGCAACTCGCAACTGCATCTCTCCTTCTGTGCCATTGTATCACACACAACCTGTGCCTTACACATTGATCGTTCCACAATGTCCGATATACAGAAAAACGTCGAAGCCGCATCCGAAAGCTACTCTTCCGGCTTCACCAAGGGGCATCTGGCGCTGCCTCCGGCCAAGAAGTATCTAGTCCTGACTTGCATGGATGCTAGAATTGACCCGGCGCGGGCTTTTGGTATCGAGCTAGGCGATGCGCATGTCGTTCGCAATGTGAGGGCTCAAACCTGGCAACGTTGACTGGTCGGCAGCTAATGTTGAAATCAACAGGCTGGCGCATCTGCCGTAGACGCGCTTCGCAGCATTGTCATCTCTCAGCAACTTCTCGGCACGCATGAGATCGTGCTCGTCAAGCACACTGGCTGCGGGATGCTGACTTTCAAGAACGAGGACGCCTACGCACTCGTTGACCAGAATTTAGGGTTTGTACCTTGAAGCCACGGATGACCCGGCCTTTCTCCGCTAATGTGCATGTAGAGCTGGAGCGTCTGCCGAACTCAAGTCTCGCAGTCTCGACTTTCTGCCATTTTCTGATCTGGAGGAAGCTGTCAAGAAAGATATTGACTACATCAAGGGGACTGAGCTTGTCCCGCGGAGCGTGGCGTTGAGCGGCTGGATCTACGAGGTTGAGACGGGCAAGACGAATCGTGTTGTTTGAAGCTAGACAAGCGAGCGGAGAAGCGGTCTGATTTGGGCAGCGGGAGGGCGTATTAGTGAGGTGTTTATTTAGGGAGGTGCGGACGCGGCGTTAACGATTTTGCTCGGGTTTCCTGTTGAAAGTAGCTCAGATGTTGATGCTAATGGAAGTCGTCGAAACTTTGGTTGGCCTTGTCGAAGCGCGAGCCCCTACGGATACTGGTGGAAGCAGTCAACTACCTTAACCTAAGGTGCCTAAACTGCTGCACATTGACAGTGTCAGGAAAGTCCCACCCTGCCGTTGGCTCCTTCTTACCTGACTTTTTCTGTGATGCAGCGACGCCACGATCCAATTGGATAGCGGGGCAGATGTGGCTGCCAACCCCGCTCTCGTGCGCTCCCACGTCCCTGGGCGCTTACCTTGGTCGGGATTAGCCTGAGGCAGTAAACAAAGGAGGCAGTCGCCCAAACGCGGTCCAGTTAGAGAAGACCATGTCGCGACTCCCAATGTTTACACCGGGGCAAATATCAACATCGCAAGGGGGTTGCTACCAACAACAAAAGCCAGCGCACACAAACCCACCATCTGACTTCACGATCCCGACCAACATACCCTCCTTTTGCGCATGTAGAAAAGGGCCGTTGACGAGCTGGCACACTCGCTCTCCTCCCCCCTCGTTTCCCTCTCACGAGCCTTCGTGCCAATTGCGCGCCTGGTCCGCCCAGCTAGCCGTTTTGCGATTGTCGATTCTTCTTTGTATTGTCGACGGCCGCCGACTTTTCGACGACCACCACCGCCGCCGACCGTAGGGACAACTGCGTTTCGTCTATTCTCGTGTTCCTCCCCGCGCCTCGGGGAGCGTAAGCTGTACAGAATGAGTTCGGACGACGATGCCTCCGTGTTTAGCATGGGAGAGGAGTCGGATTTTGCGCCGGTATGTTTGCTTCTTCGCGATCCCAAATTCTTGCCTACGTGTGGATACCCGATCACGCATTATCACTTCCAACACCAACTCTTTTCCTATCGCAATCTGAGGAAGGAGCGCTCTAGCTTGGTCACTCCCTCCTGTCGATAGCTTGCTTCCTATCGCAGGGTTTTGCGCTCTGCTGTCCCTTTACCCACAACCCATCCTTTCACAACAAGCTGCTATTTCGTCGCGAAGCGTTTGCGACGGAGTCCGCCAGCTGAACCGCTCAACCACACCCTTTCTTTCCCACTTGTCTGCACACTTTCACTCCTGTACCAACTCCCCTCGATCAACTTCCCTGTACTTTCTTTTTCACACTTCTCACTCTCAAAATGTCTACGCTGCCGCCGCCCAAACCGGCGCCGCAGCCGGATGTCCCTGCTTCCATCGCCACGCTTGACAGCTTCGTTGGGGCCACCACTGATCCGTCGCAGAAGCCAAAGGCCAAGGCTCCTGTAAAGAAGGCGCCGGCGAAGAAGTTGACGCAAACCACCCTCAAGACCAAAGCCGCACCCAAGAAGCGCGCGAAACCCGACAGCGACGACGATGACGCCGCTTCCTTTTCCAACACACCTCCCAGCTCTAAGAAGCTTAAGAAGGCTCCTGCCGCCAAGAAGTCGAGCGGGAACCCCCTGGCGGAAATCGAGAACGACAGCATGATGCTCGACGATGACGAGCCGGCCGCTTCAGCGCCAAAGTCGAAGAAGAATGCCACCGACACCTACCAGAAGCTCACCCAGCTTGAGCACATCATCAAGCGTCCCGATACCTACATTGGCTCAGTCGAGCCTACAGAGCAACCCATGTGGGTTTTCAACAAGGAGACGAAGCTTATGGAGTATCGCAAGGTTACCTTCGTGCCTGGTCTCTATAAGATCTTTGACGAAATCTTGGTCAACGCTGCCGACAACAAACAGCGCGATGCTACCATGACCTACATGAAGGTTACCGTCGACCGCGAGAACGGAGAGATCTCTGTCGAAAACAATGGAAAGGGTATTCCTGTCGAGATCCACGGAAAAGAGAAGATTTACATCCCGGAGATGATCTTCGGTCACCTCCTGACGGGTTCAAACTACGACGACGAGGAGAAGAAGACAGTGGGTGGTCGCAATGGTTACGGTGCGAAGCTTTGCAACGTCTTCAGTGAGCAATTCACTCTCGAGTGCCAGGATTCCACCAACGGAAAAAGGTATAAGCAGGTCTGGACCGACAACATGAGCAAGTGCGGCAAGGCGAAAATCACGAGCAGCAAGACTAGTGACTTCGTTCGTGTTACCTTCAAGCCCGATTTCCAGCGTTTCAGCATGACGGGCATCGACGATGACCTTGAAGCTTTGATCCAACGCCGAGTCTACGACATGGCCGGTACTGTCCGTAACGTCAAGACCTACCTGAACGGCACCCACATCAAGCTTGCGTTCAAGGGTTACTGTGAGATGTACGCCAAGGCCATCGCCAAGGAACGCGGTGCCGAGGAGGGTGTCGAACCCAAGGTTGTTGTCGAGATTGACAAGACCGATGCTCACCCGCGTTGGGAAATTGGGTTCACGGTCTCGGACGGCTCGTTCCAACAAATCTCGTTCGTCAACTCCATTGCAACCACGTCTGGCGGCACACACGTCAACTACATCGCCGACCAAATCACTGGGTCCTTGCTCAAGACTCTCGACAAGAAGAAGAAGGGTCACGCCCTCAAGCAGAACCACATCCGCAATCATATCTTCATTTTCGTCAACTGTTTTGTCAACAACCCCGCATTCACTTCCCAAACAAAGGAGCAGATGACTACCAAAGTCAGCCAGTTTGGTAGCAAGTGTCCCCTGACTGAGGATTTCCTGAAGAAGATCGCCAAGTCCGACGCCATCCAGAACATTATTGATTTCGCCGAGAAGAAGGCGGACAAGATGATGGCCAAGAGTGACGGAAACAAGCGGTCCCGCATCAGCAACTCGAAACTAGTCGATGCTAACTTGGCTGGCACCCGCCACGGCCATGAATGTACTCTGATTCTCACGGAAGGTGACTCTGCCAAGAGTTTGGCTGTCGCTGGACGAGCAATCCTGGACCCTGACCGCATCGGAGTCTTCCCCCTTCGTGGTAAGATGCTCAACGTACGTGATGCATCGATCGACCAAATCACGAAGAACCAGGAAATCCAAAACATCAAGCAATTCCTTGGTCTCAAGCACAAGGCTGTTTACAATGACACGAAGGGTTTGCGGTACGGTCATCTCATGATCATGGCTGATCAGGATCACGATGGTTCTCACATCAAGGGTCTTCTCATCAACTTCCTCCAAGTCCAATACCCCTCCTTGCTTCAGATTCCGGATTTCTTCCGAGAGTTCATCACTCCCATCGTGAAAGTATGGCAGGGCCCGAACCCCAAGAAGCCGCAGCGCCTCAAGTCCTTCTTCACCCAGCCCCAATACGAGGAATGGAAGGAATCACACACCAGCGAACTTTCTCGGTGGCACTACAAGTACTTCAAGGGTTTGGGAACCAGTTCAAACGAAGACGCCCAAGTCTATTTCACCAACCTTGATGACCATCTGAAGGAGTTCAACACGATGAAGCCTGATGAGGCTGAGCTTTTCGAGCTCGCCTTCTCCAAGAAGAAGGCCGACGCGAGAAAGGAGTGGCTCGGCAACTTCGTCCCTGGTACATACCTCGACCACTCCACCAAGTCTATTACCTACACGGACTTTGTCAACAAGGAACTCATTCTTTTCAGTATGGCCGATAACATGCGATCTATCCCATCTGTTGTCGACGGACTGAAGCCTGGTCAGCGTAAGGTCATGTACGCCTGTTTCAAGAGGAACTTGACCAAAGATCAAAAGGTTATTGAGTTGGCTGGTTATGTCTCCGAGCAGACATCGTACCACCATGGTGAAGTCTCCCTCCAACAGACAATTATTGGCCTCGCGCAAAACTTCGTCGGTTCCAACAACATCAACTGCCTTGAGCCCAGTGGCAACTTCGGTTCCCGTCTTGCCGGTGGTTCAGATGCTGCCAGTCCTCGTTACATTCACACGAGACTGTCCCCTTTCGCGAGAAAGATCTTCTCCACTCTCGACGAGCCTAACTTGGAGCCTCAGTATGAGGACGGCAAGAGAATTGAGCCCAAGTGTTATGCCCCGGTCATTCCCATGATTCTCTGCAACGGTGCTGATGGTATTGGTACTGGTTGGAGCACCTCAATTCCCAACTACCACCCTATGCACATCGTTGAGAACCTGAAGAGACGTATGGGCCGTCTTGACCCCGAAAGCCCCGAGGGTGCGCCATTTGAGCCTATGATGCCTTGGTTCCGCGGTTGGAAGGGTACCCCCCAGGTTGCCGACAAGGACAGATACAAGTTCAACGGCATCTGCGACATTGACGAGAAGACTGGCGAGGTCGTCATCACCGAACTTCCTATTCGTATGTGGACGGACGATTTCAAGGCCAAGCTTGAAGAGGTCATCAGCGGCACCAAGGGCCCTGTCTGGATCAAGGACTACAAGGAGTTCAACGACCACAAGAACGTGCACTTTGTCATCCAGATGGATGACAAGCACACCAAGGATGTCATGTCCGACGGTCTCATGGAACGTTTCAAGCTCACCAAGCAGGTTGCCACCTCCAACCTGGTTGCCTTTGACACCAACGGCCAAATTCGCAAGTATGAGAAGGTCGAGGACATTCTTGAGGAGTTCTACCACTACCGTCTGGACATGTACGCCGAGCGCAAGAAGCACTGGCTCGGTGTCTATCATGCCGATTTCAGAAAGCTGTCTGAGCAGGCTCGTTTCATCAGGGAGATTATCGACGGAAAGCTCGTCATTGCCAAGAAGAAGAAGGCCGTCCTGGTTGAGGAGCTCGCTAAGCGCAAGTACGAGCCGTTCCCGAGGAACAAGGACAAGCAAGCCAAGAAGAAGAACACCGATGAGGAAATGGAGGGCGACGAGGAGGACGAGGAAGGAGCGGACGAGCAATCGAACGCCTACGACTACCTTCTTTCTGTTTGTTACCCCATCATCCGAGATTTCCTAAGCTTCGCAACTAATTGATTTTGTAGATGCCACTATGGTCTCTGACGCAAGAACGCCTCGATAGGCTGCAGAGGCAGATCGAGAGCAAGAAGGCCGAACACGACTCCCTTCTCGCCCTGAGCGAGAAGGATCTCTGGTGCCAAGATCTGGACGAGTTCGTTGCCGAGTGGGAGAACCAGATGGCCCTCGACGCTGAAATCCAAACCTCCATCCGCAGACTTGGTCGCCGCGTATCCAAGAAGATAGGTGCTGGCAAGGGTCGCAAGGCCAAGAAGGATGATGACGAGTATGAGCCTGGCGAGCGCAAGAGGGCTACTGCGAAGGTCAAGGCAGCCGCAGCTCCCAAGGTGACAGAGAAGGCTGCTGAAAGATTTGCTGCCATGTTTGAGAAGGCCAAGGCCAAGAAGGAGGATGAGGACGGGTTTTCTGACGACGATTTTGCCTCTCTCGGCAAGAAGACTTCTTCCAAGCCTGCCGCGCCCGAGAAACCACAAAGGGCGGCGACAACGAAGAAGAAGCCTATCTACACCTTGTCCGATTCGGACGATGACGAAGAATTCGCCAGCCTGGGCAAGCCCAGTGCATCTGCTCCGGCGGAATCTACCGAAGACGTTTCTTCGCAAAGTCAAAAGTCCGCGGCAGCCATGAAGCCCTCGCCTCGGGTGGAAGAGTTAGACGATAGTGACGATGATTTTGCTGGTCTGGGCAAGAAGAGCTCCACAGAGAAGCCCGCTGCAGCTGCGGCAGTCAAACCCACTGCTTCGCGACGTGCTGCATCGACCAAGAAGTACGTTATCGACGACCTGTCTGACGAAGATGAGTTTGCTAGCGCTGCTGAGGACAGTGCTTCTATTGAGAAAAGCGCTTCTGTGGAGAAGAGCGTCTCCGTAGAGCCTGCACCCACCAAGTCTTCAAAGAATGCTGCTGCTTCACGGGGCTCAAGAGCCTCTGCCGTCAAGAAAAAGCCGTCTTACGTCATTGACGACTCCTCGGAAGAAGAAAGCGAGGCCGATGACAACCAAATTGGCGACATTGGTGCTTTGGTCCGAGGTATCGGCGGATCAGCGAAGGAATCTCAGACTGGCCGACTTAGCTTGTTCGCCATGAACCGACCTGAGGGCCGCGACTCGACCATGCCCAGGATCAAGACTAAACCTTCGAGGACTTTCGATGACGAGGAGGTCGATGATACCAACTACGAGATGCTCGCCCGGTCGTCCCCTCATAAGACAATGACCAAGGAGGATGACATTGACAGCTTCTTGAGCGACGACGGTGCGCCTGCCGCGAAGGCGTCCAAGGCGTCCACGTCCAAGGCCAAGCCCACGCCAGCCGCTGCCGCACCCGTCAAGAAGCGCGGCCGTCCTGCCGGAGCCAAGAACAAGCCCAAGGATGACGAGGCCCCAGCAAAGGCCAAGCCCAAGCCCAAGGCGGCAGCCAAGACGACGACGCTGTCTCCCGCGGCCAAGGCATACGCCGCAAAGAAGGCCAAGCGTGTGTTGTCCGATGATGAGGATGAGGATGTCGAGATGGAGGAGCCAGAGTCCCCGCCACGGCCGGCTGCTAGAAGCCGCCCTGGACGTGCGGCTGCCACCAAGGCCAAGGCGAAGCCCAAGTACGACTTTGATGATGACAGCGAGATGGACGTTGACGAGGCCAGCGAGGACCCGTTCGACATGGATGAGAGTGACTAGAAGTCCTCGTGAAGGTTGAGGGAGGTGTAGTAAACCGCATATGTATAACATGTGTGTGCTTGTTGCGCGTGTGGATGTGTGTCTGTACACTTGGAAAAGGGAACGGCGAAAGGGGGTACGGGTACGGCGGGGTGGTCTCACGGAAGCAGTCATGCCGCTGCTTGCCGATTTGCTTTGCTTTATGACCAGGTATTCCTCTTTTATGGTCTCCGGGAAACTCTCTTGCTCTTTTGTTTTTTTTATCATGTTGGCGGCATAGGCTAGGCCGTCTGTTGCTCCCTAGTATTATATTGTTTGCGAGAACGGACAATATGGGATACCTTTTCTTCAACGGCCTGTGCCATCTTTGCTTGGTGACCCGCTTGGATGTTAATGACTGTGATATTAGCCCGTCCCAGACGCAGTCCGAGAAGCTGTGAAACCTGGCCGCTTCAGCTTGAATGACAAGAAATGGCTTGTCGACGTTCCTCCAACTGCATAAGCCAGACCAGCGCCTCGTTCATCAATCACCATGACACCCACGTACTGTTCCCTGGACCGGCGGCAGGTTTCGAAGCATTGAGTGCACATCTGCTAGTAGTCGACATCACCAAGCATGGCAGTGTTGTAGTGCCAAACTTCATTGTGGTATGTCTAGTATGCGCAGTCAAGATTCCTAGAAAGACACCCTTGAGCCGAACCCAGTCCACACTAGCATATCAAGATCATTTTTACGAACACAACGTAGGAATGATGGAAAGACGCTACTTTTGTAGAAATAATTCGTTTCGTTGCATCCCCTAGACAATCTGATGATCCCCCTTTCGCCAAAGCCGTGTGCCATGAAGAGAGAACCAAAAGCAAGACAATACACTACATGCGTACACAATCACTCGTTCGACGCCCTCGTCCCCACATCCACTGGAAGTCAGTGTCTGATATTATCCTTTTGTTGCTCAGTGTGTGCAACCAACTCCTGCCAAAAGCAACCGCAAAGTCCTACCACGTCGAACATGTCGTAGAGAGAGGTGTGTGGTGCGTGGTCTCATTCATATTCGTCATGAGTCGTTCCGTTGACGCCAGACCAGTGGCATACGACGTATATCCGCCAGCCTGTGTACACTCAGGAGAGCCGAGTCGAATGAGGAGGCATTTAGGAAGCGACCATGGGGGTCTCCTTCTCGGGAACGACAGGCTCGCTGTTCTCGAACTCGCTGCTAGGGGCAGCAGGGAAGTCCTTCTCTTCAACCGCGGGGGCAGCAGGGGCGGGCTTAGAGACGGCCTCGGGAGAGGCAGAGCGACGACCAATCAGCTGCTGGGCCTTGGCAGTGTAGTCGCCCATGTACTGCTTGGTGATGTTGGCAGCCTCGGCAGTGTGCTTCTGGGCGACGCTGCGAAACTGGCTCGTCTGCTGGTTGATGACCTCGCCGGCCTTGTTCAACTGGGCATCAATGAGCTCCTGGTTGGAAGTGTAGATCAGCGGGATCATGAAGACGGAAGTGGTGCCGATGAGGCCAAGACCCCAGAGAGGGACAATCTTGACGAGGTAGTAGGCGAAGAAGGCACCGAGGAAGGCCTGCGCAAAGATTTGGCGTCAGTCCCGATGATGTCAATAATTGTGGAGAGGGTCACGCGAGCAACTTACAGCAACGGAGGCAGTGACATTCTCGGCGAACAAGATGCGCTGGGCCTCAATCACGAAAAAGTTGATGAGCTCGTGGACGTCTCCTATCATCGCATCGAGCGTGTCTCTCGGAATGACGTAGTAGCGGCGGGGACGGAGCTGGGTGGCCAAGCCATTGTTGAGGACAAGCTTGCCAGCGACCTCGGCGAGGACGGTGGTGCCAAGCACCATCCAGGTAAGCTTCAAGCTGTATCTCAGGATGTCGAGGTAGCGAGCGGCGAAGATGAGGGTGACGATGGAGGCGTAGGCGATGGCCGAAGCACCTGGAGATAGCTATTAGTCGGGGTCGGGCTTCAGACGGAACCCGGGCAATACATACGAGGGTTGTTCCACGAGATAAGCTCGAAGAAGAAAGAATGGTAGTGAGTCAAAGGCTGGCCGGTGGCGGCAGGGTTGGCAGGCGTTCTGCGAGAAGCGGCAAGGTTGCCGAACTCAGTAGAAGCCTTTGCAGACTGATCCTTAACATTCTGAGCGACGGGGCCTGGAAGGGAGAGCCATCGGGTCAGTACTCGAAAAATGCGCCGCAAATACGTCATGCGTGGCAGGAGATAGAAGGCATACCGTTGGCGAGCTGATTGTAGGCAGCGGCGGCATCTGGAGGGTGCGGGTTAGCTTATCACTGTCGCCGGTCGTGAAGGTGAAGCTTGAAACACTAATCGCCAGGTTAGCCGGAGGTTCCTCAAAGCCATGGATGTCGGGATCGGGAGTCGCGGGTTCGGTGAGAGTGCAGGAGCAGCGCGGCGATAACATACCTTACTGTCCTTGGTAGCCTGGACGTAAGAGTTGCCGTTGGCAGAGGGAGCCGTGGTCGGGGCGTCCGGGAAGTCGGCCATTGCGATCAGATCACGACGGGTTGCTTGTGATGTTCTGTGTGGTGTTGTAGGTTGGAAGAGTTGGGTTGGGTGGTCGTGTGATACCGGGATCTGCTTGAGAAAAAGCTACAGCACGAGCAGCGGGCGGTGTTTCAAAGAAATCGGAGCTTGGGTTTGGTTTGCGTGGTGAGTGACGACAGCTGTAAGGTCGGTGGGAGGTAGACAGCAGATAAAGGGCAGGAAGAGTTACAAGGCCAGGTGTTAGGTTGTTTGTGTTTGTGATGATCTGGAAGAAAATCCGGAAGCTCAGGCAGATAAACCAGAGAGGTGTGGGTAGGAGAAGTAAGGCAGGTAGGTAGGCAGGCAGAGGTGGAAGGGAAGGGAAGGGGAAAAAAGACTTTGTGTGTGTGTGTGTGTGGTGCGGCGCGCGCCTGGGTTGGCAGTGATGCAAATGAAGATCAAAAAGAAAGGAGCACGCAGAGCCCACAGGGCCGTCCGTGCCAACGCCAGGTCCAGCGGCCCAGCCCAGCAGCACCTAGCATTTTAGCACCCATATGGACGCGAGAGCATTCGTCTCTTCCCCTTCTGGCGGGACAGTGACGCTCCTACCTCCAAAACAGGGCCTGGCGGCCGGCGAAGAGGGGCCCACGTAGCGGGCAGGAGCTTTCTGTCCTTTCTGATATGGAACACTGAAGTCTAGCTGTCTCTCTCTCTTCCTCTCTTCCTCTCTCCCTCTCTCTCTCCCGTCACCTGTTTTTCCTTTCGCCCCTCCGACTTTCCCGTTCTCCCTTCTTTCCCGTCACCAGCTGGCGGGCTACCTCGCTTGCTCAGGACACTCGTTCACCGATTACACACGACGGATGGGTACCTTGCCTGTCGCACGTATCGCAGCGTCTGCCTTTTCTGCCCGCAGCTAACCAACTGCTGCCGGCGCGCCTGCAATCCACCACAATCAGTACGCCGTAGCTCCACCAGCGCGATGAATGGGTCCTGCGCCGAGAGAGAGGAAGAAGTACGCAGTAGAGGGGCCCTCCCTTGCTCGGTCGGAGTGTGGCTAGTGCCCGCGCCAGCTTGCTTTCCACACACTTGATGACGCAAAAAGTGTGCCACAGCAACCAATCGACCACTCCAACCAAGGCGACCCATTGACTACCTCCCATTGACAGCAGCTCAGCGCCCAATGACGATGTATTGCCGTCGTCGTCTCCTTCAATGCCGCACCGTGGCCCCATCTTTGGCGTCATCCCACCGTAGCTGCATCCTCCTTTGCGGCGCTAATCATGCAGGCGGCATGTGACGGTCATCGCGTCCCTCCCGTCAGTTGCGTCGTCTGCGAGCCCAGACCTTTTACAAGTATACTTCTCCAGCCTGTCCTGTCCTGTCTTCCTGCACTCAATAAGTAGTGCAGGAAGCAGCATGTTTGCGCGCGGCTGTGGACTGGGGCACGTACAAAACGTGTGTTCACCATCTCATCATCGCGGCAGCGGTGCTCGCCCGGGGTTGAATCAGAAAAACCTGAAACCATGGCATTTCGATGTCTGATGTGCTGATGTCTGTAATGTTTTTCTCTGTCCTGCTTCCCGCCATCCCGGATACCGGCGTCCCGGTCACTTTACCTGTCCGCCAGTTCCTTTAGAAACCACTGTGTTGTCCCTCCATTCATCCAAGCCAGATTTCGAATCGCGATAGTAATCATGGAGGAGCAGGCATGGTCCTAGCTCGCAGGCGTACCACGTCGCGTAGCGCATTGTGGCCCGCCCTTTTTTAGCCCCTCCTGCTCAGCAACCAAAACTCACGATATCACCCTCGATCGCTCATCTCTTCCGTTGCCCAGGTTATTGAGAGGAAACCCACATAAAAACTACGACAGCTCCGTCCATGAGCAAAAGCCAACAGCAGAATGCCCAAACATGTCAGAATTTGACATGTCCCAAGTGCGCAAGAACCCGCAGTGGGACGGCCGCCAAAACCGCAAAAAGAAGCAAAACCGAGTACCATCAGACGAACCATGTGAAGCCCCAACCGACCGCTCTTCCGCCCATTTCCAAAATCGAAAAAGCCACAAAAGCCACCAGATGAACAATTGTAAATGCAACTCCACACGTAGTGCTCAAACCAGCTCGGAATCAGGGCCACGCCGTCTGCCGTCCGGTGCGGATCGGGGTCCGAGGCTTTTCCCTTGTGCCCCTAGGTCCTCAGCAGTGCGGGAGCACGTGCCCCAAATCTTTCCTTCCATTTCACACGTGCGAAACGTCGCCCGGACTCAGATCCATGTGGAAGACAAACGACGCGACGTTGAGAAGGCGCTCATACGGGCATGCTATGATTTGTCTTTCTTTGGAACGTCTGTCATTATGTTCCGTTGGCTGTGTTCTCAGAGGCAATCCAGCACGAGACTGGCTTGTGTCCAGATCGAACGGCTTCCCAAACCTGACGGATGCGGACACCATATAAAATAACGAACCAAACCATACCGATTTGATGCGGTCAATACTCACGCATCCAAGTACTCTGCCAAAAAAAAAAAAAAAAAAAAAAAAAAAAAAAAAAAAAAAAAAATGCCGGCGACTGCAAGAGGACCGTTCGTCTCGTTAGTCTACAGTATAGGATCTTCCTCGACATACGAATAAAGGCCTGGCTCTTCTTCCAGAAGGGCACGCATCTGGCGCCCACAAAAGTGACTGAATATCTCCAATTCCATGACTTTAAAGCTGGAAATCCTAGTAGGTGGTGCACTAAAAATTGCAAAGTGCCTTACCTTGAGGAAGTTTCCATACTTGCGTAGGTAGACAAGATTACAACGTTGGCCAACAACATACGCCCTTCTTTTATCACAGCAACCCATCGTCAAAACCAGCGCATCCCAGCCTCAAGTCCCAGTGGATCCAGTGCCACTCTTTCACATGCTTTTGCTGCTTCCCGTTTAGGAAAGGCCCGTTGATCAAGGTGAGCTCCCCACCTTTTCAGCACGGTGCACCGCCACAGGGGTCCAGAAAGCCAAAAACTGCAATCCGTTGCAACTGTGACGCTGGAGGGGAATTCGCCCCACTCAAGATAGGGGGAAACCGTTGGCTGTTTCGACATCGTTCGATGACCGGACGAAAATGCGTTGGTTGACGACAGCGAAATCGATGTTGCGTCTGGCTTCCCATCTTGACTGAAGAGGAAAAAGAAATGATGGGGAAAAAAAAAAAAAGAAAAGCGAGCAGAGATGCAGCAATACATTGTTTTGACTTCATGTCATGATTCAATTCTTGTCAACTAAAGGTGCTACTGGTAAACTAGTACTGTCTGTATCTGGTGAATCTTTCTCCCGGTACTCCGTCCGTATGCCCCGACGGGTTGAGGAGGGAAAAAAAACAAGAAAAAACAAAAACGGGCAGCGGCATAAAACATCCCTAGTCATAAAGACGAAAATCCATTCGTCTGGGGAGTATAGTTCCTCAACTCCAATGCTATGTGTGAGAATGGAAGTGAAAAAAGGGCAACAGTCTAGAATGCAATGAAGAAAAATGCTCCCCCAACGCGGAGCGCATGCCAGCGTCCGCGGATGCAAAGTGTTGCCTTTCTATGCGATGAGCAGGACGACGGCCAGACACGGGGCCTGGTACCCATTGTGAATGCCGCCCCCAACCAGAATGCAAAATGCTCTAGATGCTCCGAATGCTTCCGTTCCGTTCCGTGAGGAACTTTGATTAGGCCATGAATCGATGGCGGTGCGTCTATCGTCTCCAGCCCCAGAATCCTCCTCCCGCCGTGGGCGCGGGAGTCGCTGCTGGCGTCGGCGCCGGACTGGCGGGTTTGACAGGTTCTGTTGATGCGCCCGTGAGTCGGCCAAATACACCCATAGCGGCTGATGCGGCTGCTCCCGCGGCCGTAGGTGCTTCTGCTGCAGGTGCCGCAGCGACGAGACCGTGCGCTTTGCGCAAGCTCTCCAATTTCTGCTTCATCTCTTCGGCCTCTTGCCTGGCAATAGCTTCCGCAGTCTTGGCTTGTACGAGCTCCAAAAGCAGCGCCTCATGCTGGTCGTCTGTTGGCGGTGGAGGCGCCGGAACCGGAGGCGTAACGGTCGGGATGGTTGAATCGTGCGCCTTGATCAGTGATGAAGACCGCTTGCTGAAAATTGATCCCGCTTGGGATGGCGTCGACTTGCTCCTACCAAGTTTCAGCTCTCTCAAGCCGGTGCCGCTTGCAGAGCTCTTCCTAAGTGGCCCGTCGCTTTCGTGGTGACTATTACTCTCCGCCTCTGCAGCCGATGCCCGCGCTCTCATTGTGTGTATCTGCTTCTCGAGTCGTTGCTTGTCCTGATGCAGGATGCGCGTGTGTGAATGCGACTCCCGCACTTGGTCTTTCAATGCAGAAATCTCTTGGTCCAAATCGTGTATCTTCCGGTCGTAGTTCTGGGCCTGCGACACCGCGCTAGCCAGCTGGTCCTTGAGTTGCTGCAATTCCTGTTGCATGTGCGACTTTGACTCGCTACTTGCAGACTTCCTGCGTTCATCGCTAATGTGGCGCCCAAATCTTTCTTCGACGACATCGAGCATCTTGGAAAGCTCCTCGGGTGAAGGCTGAACCTGTTCGGCAGTCTTGGCATTTTCTTGTGGTCCTGAGGCCACATCTCCCTCGCCTCCCTCGCGTGCCTCAGTTGCGGGGTCGGTGGCCTTGAGAGTATCGACGCTCGCGTCGGTACTGACAGAGTCGTTGCTGGCCTTTTTGCGCAAGCCGTCTAGGAGCGACCGCACAACCTGCTTATCCTCCTCGCGCTGTTCCCGTTCCTGTTGTAGTTCGCTTGCGAGCAGCGCGTGATTTCGTTGCGCTTCGGTCAAGGCGGCGAGGAGGTCTTCGATCTGAGTGTGCAGATAATGATCTTGCGTCTTCTTTGCGCCAGTGGCATTGATGGACTTTGCGATGCCATTGCCGACCGGTGTCGATTCGCGGATGGAGGCATTGTCGTCAGTGTTGGATGAGTCGCGGGAGATGGTGGTGGCTTCGGTAGATGCAGAACTGAGGACGCTGACGGA